TCCCTGCAGAGATCTTTTTGATTGGTGTGCCATGTACCTATGCTACACCTGTACAAATGTGCTCTCCAATGGAGCCCTCTGTTTTCAGATTACTTCTGTACCTGTCTGTAAGCTGGGAGCTGGGGACTGCTCTATGAAAATGAAAAAATAACCCATGCAGGTAACCAGCTGCACATCCTCAATTTTTACATACTTTTGAAAGCATATTTTCAAGTAGAGACAAACACTCCTGGGTATATACAAGCTCTCTCATACCACTGCACCCTTTTATGATATTGCAAGTGAACTACTTCCAGTTGCTTATTTTCAATCTCATCACTGTTTCTAAGCAAAATTGTCATAGTTGCTCTCCATTTCATCTAGCCAAACTGGGATTTCATATAAGACAACTATGTTTTTTTGAAAGAGATGCTTCATTTTAGCTCCCCCCACACTATGTTTTGCTCTTAGTGGACAGGGAGTAGGTCTCCACCCCATAAAGCTTCATCATATGTCTGTACACAGCTGCATTACGTATATGCATGTATATTTCTGTGATTGCAAGAGAGATGCAGGCATGATGAGAGGAAAGTGGACTGCATCTGCTGTGCCCTTAACTGCACCCACTGTCACTTTCTGAGGTGAGGTCTGGCCACTTCTGCACCTTCCTCTTGAAGTGGGACCAGCCCAGCTTTCTGTTTCAACGTGGAGACATGCACCAAAGACCATAGCTAGTGGAGGCATTATAGAAATAAGGCTAGGATGCTTTCTGATGCCCATAAAACTGTGCAGGTGGTGCCCATGCCCAGAGATTGTGAGGGAGCGGCTTGGCAGGTTGTGTCAGGCCATGCGGGGCTGCAGGCCTAGAGAGCCTGGTGATGTCTTCAGTGGATCCCTGTCTGTGCCCCATTCTGCTTAGACATAAGCGTAAAATCTTCCTCTGCCTTGGGTAGAAAGGAGTGAGTTTATTTAGGTGATGAGTAGTATTTTCTCATGCAAATCTTGAAAACCAGTGTTGGTGACCATTAGTCCCAAGTCCAATCAATCTGCAGGAAAATGCAGACTTGGGAGGTTGTTGCTCACAGAGTTTGCTTTTCTGCAAATTGATATCCCTATTTCTCAAAGAGAGCAAAATAGAGACAGGGACCCTGTTGGAGGGGTTTTATTGTGGGTTTGTGTTTTTTTTTTTTCCCTTATACTTGGGGAGAGCCTTGTGAAAGCACATCAGACAAAGCTTGGGGCTATGGACTTTGATGTTTTTCCCCCTTCCCTGTTACCATTCAGCCTTGAGAAAACACTCTTCAGCAGAACAACTTAAATTATTTAACTAGCCATTTGCTTCACTTCAGCTTTGTGATTCTTTTGGTTTTTTTGCACGTAAGTATCTCTTTCCTGTAAAACACACGTTGGGACGTCCTCCTCTGCCTCTCTCTTCCTAGATTGATCTCAGTCACAACAGTTTGGGAGCCATGACAACTCAGGAATCGTGACAGTAATTATGAGAGGTTTTGAAAGAGAATTTGTCTGCAGCTGTTGAGCTGCAGCTCCTTCTGTAGCTGTAGCAATTCATTTGCCCATCAAATACAGTATCCCCACCTTGCACAGACATACACCCAGAGAACTGTGCCCACATATTTTGGGCTGTCTCTCTAAGTGCCACCTTCACTCTTCTTGCTGTCTATTCCATTCTTTGAGGTATCTCTGTCTAGATGCTGGCTGCAGCACCAACTATGCAGTGATGGTGGTGGACAGAGGTGGGTTTGAGTCTCACTGTCTAACTCTGGAGCTGTGTGTCAGGTAGGTTGCAGCATATGGCAGGGCCTCTCTGCCCACTGACTAAGGGTACTTGTTTCAGGATGAGCTGAGATCGCTTAGTCTTCCCTCAAAACCCCAGTTTGTTTCTTCAGCTTGGTTTGGCTGAGGAACAGTGGGGAAGGAGGAAAATCCCAGCACCATTTGCTGTTCAGTTGCACCAGAAGAAAGCCGCCAGAGCAGGCTTGTAAATATTACACACAGTAGTAGGAATCTGACTGCTACAGGGAATTTCTCACCCCCCCCCAGTGCTGTTTGGATTTACCCACCTGGCTCAAGTTCTACGTACACCTGTCAGCTGAGGGTGACAGCATCAGTGCCAGCAGTCTGTGACTGTCCCCTTGGAGCTTTGCCTGGCCAACTGGTAGTGTACATCATGAGCCATGCCTTCTCTTCCTCCTCCTCCACAACCATGAGCACGAGGTTTTGGTCCCACCACCAGTGAGGAAAGTGGGTATCAGCCCCATCTGAGGCCTTCTTTGCTTCCTAAGTACAAACAGGGGGTTTCAGCCTTACTTTCCTTCAATGGTTGAGGAAATAAAGATCTTTTCTTTCTTTTTCTTTTTTTTTTTTTTTTTTTTTTTTTCCTTCCTACCTCCCTTCCCTCCTCCCCTGGTCTCTACTTTAGCAGGATGAAGCCAGCTCATTCTGGTGCTGGAAATTTAATGGAGGGGAGATATGAGGAAGAGAAGGATGCTACCAGGAGGGACTGGCCCCAGCAGGAAGGAGATTAGAGGCAGATTGAAGTTTGTCCACAGTAGAATAATGAGGCTTGCTCACTCATGTGCGTTTCTCTCCTACTTCTTCCTACTTCTAATGTCTGACTCATATTTGTCATGACAGTGATATTGCCATTTTCCATTGCTCTCACCTTGTCACCCACATGCAAACAAACCATCCAACAGTTTCTGTGACAGAGACCTTTTCAGCTGAGCTCTGGACTAGCTAGCCCCCGCTGCCACTGGCAGGGTTTCTGTGTGAACGCTGTATTTGCAGGCTATGTTCACACGCATCATGCTTTTTTAAGCCTGCAATGTCTGTTACACTGACAGGGAAATAACATTTTCCCACATACAGAGAAGAAGTGCTGCAGATTGTTGTAAAACCTACATGGGCTCATTAAACAGTAACTTCAAGAAAAACTGACTTTAGAAATTTATAAAGCTGCATTTGTTTCTTCTCTTTTCTGTCAGAGATGACAGTTGTTTATTGAAGACTGTTACCAATCTTAGCACTCATTGCTTTTATACTATGAAGCCTCCTGATTACTGATGAACTTCATGAATGCATTCACATTACTTCAGTGGTCCACATGTAAGAGCTTCCTCCAAATCCTTGCAGTGGAAACCTTCTGGATGAGTCTGATCTGTCACATGCCACACAGCTCAGGACTGTCACATGCCACACAGCTCAAATTAACTCCTTGGTATGTTACCCTAATTATTGTTTGCTAAAGAATCTAGAAGGAAATTTATGCAAAATAGATGGTCTTTATAATAACCTCCAAATAAACTAAATGTTCATGCTGAGCATAAATTGTCAAACAAAAAGCAGAAGTAAAGGAAGGTCAGATGGTCCTATACAGAGTTGAGAGTAACCAGAATCAGGTGTTTCTTCAGCAGGTGAGGTTTATGCGGCCATGTAAGCTTTTACTTTATTCAGCCTCATGTAAGGCATGTAATCAGCAGTTAAGTTGATTAAGGAAAGAAGACTGAACTAAGTGCAGGAATCCATTCAGTTGCTTGCTTTGTTTACTGTTAGTGTGGAACCCATCTACCTCTTCAGATGCTTCTGCTTGGGACTCATGCATGGTGCTTTTGTAACCAAAAGCTTTTTGATGTAGTGGTTTGGTCCTGTGGGTCGAGAGGACCTTTCAACCCCATTTCTTCACCGTTACTGTGTGTTTGCCTTGGAGGACTCCATGGTGATGATGTGTGTGTGTGTGTGTGTGTGTGTGTATGCACACTGGAGTGCACCATGGCTCCAGATTGTCTTTGTGTGACAACAGTTTCCCTATGTTGGACTGCACACCACTGGATCATGATGTCCATGTGACTTGAAGTGTGTTAATTGATCTTACAGTCAAGCATGCTGTGTTATATTCTTTCCTGGTGATTAGGTTTTTTGCTTTTTTTTTTTTTTCATTTGAGTCACAGCAGTTTAAAGCAGTGCTGAGGAAAGCTGTTTGTCCATATATGCTTTTAAAAGGAAAAACAATGCAGGACTCGTGTGAAGTGTTCTGTGAAGAGGAGACTAAATTGAACACGATCTTCAGTCTTGCCTGTACTAGGGCTGCAGTTGGGCAAATTCTTTGGACTTGTGAAGAAATTTGAGCATGTGTTCATCTATGAATTATTTTTTTTAACTGTACTATTTGCCTAAAGCCCTATATTTGCAATATTGAAGCCATATATTCTCATATTGTACAAAATAATGCATATAAAACATCTCTCAGCACATCTAAATGCACACTTGCATATAGAATCATCATGCATGTAGGCACTCATCTGCTTCTCTGTTACTTTTAGAATTATATCATCTGCCTGCTTGACTACGTACTTTTTAAATGAAATGGGTGAAATCATACTGTATCTTCTATTGCACATGCTGATATCCTCTTATTTTCTAATTTCCTTTACACAGAGATAATGAAAAATGGTGATATGAAATTGAGATGTTCGTTATCCCCCTCCTCCCCCCAAATGTTAATGTTGACACACAGAACTAGTCTAGCAGAGAAAGCGTATTTGGTCCAAGTCATCCTCAGTTGTTTTCTAATTACAGTGACAGCACAAAAATAAAGCAAGCTTACCTCAGCTCAGGAGGCTTATTTCTGATGTATCCCAGGCAGTTCCCTCTGCTTATTCACTTGAAAAGGGAAAATCCACTTGAGTAAATTAAAAAAAAAAAAAGACTTTAAATAATAAGGAAGCAAGGGATTCAAGGAATTATATCTGAGCTCCTGATCCACTTGTTCTACTGAATTGCCAAAACCCAGCTCCGGTAAGTAGTAGCTCAGAATGGTTTTTCTCCCTTCGTTTATTCTGTGGGCTGAGGCTACAGGAATAAACCTGAGACAGTGCTGCATGGGAGAGACAGCGGGGGGACCTTGGCACGGAGTTGGACCAAACTCTAAATATAGCCCATCCCACTTTCCGTGTAGTTCTCTTCATGCACTGAAGGCAGATGACCTTGTCAGAAAACTGACCTCGCAGCATGTCACTCTCTACAAAGAGAGAATCTAAAGGAACAGGACTGCAGTGTGAGAGGACAGAAAAGCAATCAGCCATCTGCTTGCAGCACATGAATATAGGTATGAGCTCTATTTTTATGGCAGTTGCAACTGATCGAGTTGTGATGTGCTTTATTTGACCATTTGGACACGTGTGCTGCATGCCAGTTCACAAAAGGCTTTTACAGATGAGAGATTGCATTGTAATTTCTAGTCTTGAATAGAGAGTACTGACATAGATGAATAGCCTGTCGCTTTTCCTCCTTTGTAAAATGTTAATTCAGCAAAGTGGATAGTATTTCTCTTTTATATTCCATTAATCTTCATTCATATATAAAAGGTTTCTGTCTAATAGAAGATGTTTTCTCTCACTTGCTCCTGTAGTGAGATTTTTGGGAAAATGTTATTTAAATCCACAAATGTATATTCCAGTATTATATAAATTAGAGATGCTAGGGTAGCTTGAAAGGGTGATGCAAAATGCAGTGTCTGAGACCGAATGGCTGAGAAATGTTTAGGATATGCAAAGGAGGAAGCAGGAGAATAAGAGGCTTAGAAATATAGCCACTGGACATTGTATCTCAACAGATGGTCTATAATCCAGTGAGTTTGCCACTTGAACTCTGTTCAGGGAATTTTGTTCTTAACCTGAAGTTTAATTTTATATGAGTTAACATGTTGCTCTTTCAAATGGACTTGATGTTGCTATGTACATGAAGACCTCTAATATAGAAAGGTTGCAGAAGTCTGAATAACTCAAAATGCCTTTTTTCACATTTTGTATTGGGTCATCAAGGAGAGTTGAGATAAAAGCTTGTTTGCAGTACTGTTCTTTAATGAGATATATTTCTTGGTAGTGACGCATAGCTAAGTGTATGCTACGTTACATATGTGCATGCAGTTTTTAATGTTCAGAGAAAACCTGGGAAGATGTCAGGTCTGTGATAGCCTTATACCATAGGATTATACATCTGCAAAACATGCACGAGTCAAAAAGGCTTTTAGCATGAGCCAGTAATATCAGTGGTCAGTAAAATATCGATGCGTATCTATGAAAAATAATGTAATATGCGCTGTTAAGTTTTTAAAACATGTGCTGTCTATTTTTTATGGAAGCCTACTGTTTTTGGCAAGTTTTGCTATGTAATTTTATCATGATCTATCAGCTTCAAGTCCACAGAGTCAGCCAGACTCCGTGTTACCTTCACAACAAGAACTACAGCTGTGAAGCCACAGCTGCTTCCCAAGACAGTGAGAAGACAGTAGGAAATATGAGTCTCTCGCAGTGCTTAGGGAGACATCACATCTGGGCTGTACTACATTCCTGGACAAGACTTAATCATGGCCTGGTCTATGCCAGCACCCACCAATGAAATAGTTTTATGGATTTCTCCCAAGTTTTGTTTGCAAGGTTTGCTCCCAATTTACCTATTTCCTTTTAATTAACAGAAACAAATATTTATAGGAGAAAAGATTATAACTAATGAAGGATAGTGGTTGGTTTTTTGTTGGAGAAGTTGTGGCTTTTTTTAGAATGGCTTTTACATATATTTCCTCATGCCTGTTAGGATTGACAGCTACTTCAAACCAGATTTTTGGGATTCTCCTTCATACAGTCATACTTTCTGTAATGAATACTTGTCAATTGATTTTTTTTTTTAATGATTAAACCCGAATTCCTAGGCATCTGTAGTTGTTCAAAGATCCTATGGGATGTTTGATAATGTAAGATGTGTGGACCACAATGTACAATTTGGTCAACTGTATTCTGATGTATTTATTTTTTTTCCCTATTGCCCAAATTTTCAGAGTTAGAATATTCTGTTACTATTGCACAGCATTGCTGGCATCCTTTAACTTGTTTCTAAAGTGCCTGTAAGGTATACAAGGCCTGGCATCTGTCAAGAGGAGAAGCCCTTTTTACAAGGTTAAGTATTTAATTGTTTCATAACATTCATCCCGTAATATTTTAAACATCCCAAACCCATACTACTTCTAAACAAGCCAAACAAAATCATCTCCAGTTTCCTTATCTCTCAAAGAACATGCTTTTAGGCTGAAATGGAATTTTAAAGAGCTTGTCAGAAGGGTAGTTTTTGAAAGAACAGAAGTAAGAGTAATGAAGAGGCTGCAGTGACTTATGTGCTATCTGAGCCTTTGCTCTTTTTGGAGTACTTGAGCAGACAGCAGAAGTGATGTGCACTCTGTGCTGATGTGTTTCTGTATCTTCAGGCTCCGGGTGCTTGTTTGACAGGCCAGTCGTGAAGAAATTAGGTTGGATGGCAAACAGTCAGTCTGTCATTTTCCTAAAATGTGAAATCTTAGTGTTTGCCTTTCATCTACCATGGGTTTGAAAGCCACAGTGACTGAAAATGAACATCAAGTCCTCCCTCCTTACCTCAGTGGTGACATTTTTTGTCATGTGAGACAGGGGTGGGATGTCACATTCAGCTCACATCTTGTGGAAGTGTGAGTAGTTTTTACCAGACTAAGTGTGACCTACTTTTATACTTGACCAGTCTCTTTCTGTTTTTTGAACGTGTTTCTGTCTTATAAGGCAATATGTGAGAATGAGAAGGTCAAATTATGAATAGGCTGGGTTATAGCTGTATTGCAAGCTAAGCTTAACCTTATGTGAGGTAGATTCTTCTTCTGTACTCACTTGTATGCAACAGGATTTCCTCTGACCTTGATTCCAGGCACGCCCTTCATTTTGCATTTTGGCTCACTGCTAGTCAGTAAGTCAGAAACACTCTTTTTGTGGCACCAGTTTTGAATATTAAAGTGTTAAAAATTAGGTAAAGGGAGAAATGAGCTGTGGGAGACTTTTCTTGGCACAGTCTGACAGGTGATTTCATTTGTATGCTAAATGACTCCCTTAACTTCTCCTCTTTCAGTGTGAGAAAGAGGAGCCCCAGCTGAATGTCCTCTCCTGCAGTTTATCTGTAGTAGATCTCTCAGCTGACCAGGGATGGTGTTTACACATGTTAACATGTTGTCTTTGTAGTACCAACTATTGCCAGTACTTTTAACATGATACATGCTGGTCTTGCAGACAGTTTGTAGTAAGTTCTTCCTTGACACAGGCCCACTGAAGTCATTTTCAGTCTTCAGTAGGACCATGTCTCTTCCTGCTCTGTTGCATATTGTGTGCCTTTCTGTGTGCTTCACAAATGCACTGTAAAATACACTTATTTTAAAGTACCTCGGGCAGGCCAAGTCTGCATTTCAAGGTATGCTCACAGATGTGAGGTCTTACTGTTGTGCTGTATTAAGACTGTTCTGGAGAAGGAGTTCATTCAGACAGAAGAGGAAAACAGCGCTTAGACCTTGGGGGGATAGGGGCTGCTCTGGGGTAATAACATCACGTCTGGTTATCTTGGAGATTGCCTCCATGTTGGGCTGAGATAACTTTGTTCTCTGTTGCAGTGGGCAATAAAAGCTGTCAAAATGAGAGTCAAAATGAAAGCCAAAATGACCTAACTGCCAGTCACCTGCACGTGAACTTCATTGCTTTTTAACTTGATCGGCTTGATAACCATCTCCCTATCCCTCTCCTTTTGTCAAAGAAGAAGCTGTGCTTGGAATACTTCAAAATATTTGAACTGTCAAACCCTTTTTCTTATTTAACCAACTCCCTGTCCTGTTTCATTGAAAGACTTCATCTGTTTCTTTGCATGTTGGTGGGAGTGATGACTGGGGTCATGACACTGAGCTTTGTGTTCCTTCTGCCTTGTGTGATGATGATGCTGGAAAGATTTGTTTAGATATTTTCATTGTTGCTTTCAGGCCGGCCTTGGTGATCAACAAAACTTTAGGGGCAAGAAAAATTCAGGCAAATGCATTGACATTAAGATTAATTGATCTGATTCACTGCAAATTTGGTCCAATTTTAAATGACACAAATATGAAAATGTCTGATTTCAATTGTGCTTTTTTCCCAGACCTTTCTGTCTGCCCATTCCATTATTACTTGCAAAGAAAAGGAATCTAAAATAACAGTTTAAAAAAAAAAAATAAAAAGGCTTCTGCCCAACACACTTGGCATTTTACTTAGAATCAAATATTTTTCAATCTGCTGGCTTTAAAGCTGGAAGCCCAAGAAGTGCTTTTTCCCCAGATTAAGTGACCAATAGATAAAAACGTAACCTGCAAAGCAGCCTGAAATTATTCCATCATAGCATGCCCAAATTGAATGAACCATGCTCAGTAATAGAGTAATGTCAAGGACACGTTTTCCTGCAATATGTTTGAAACTAGAAAGAGAGAATAGCAAATATAAAATCTATTTCTGCAACATCCTTGATGTTTTTTAAAAATTGAAAACATGGGTCCTATTTAAAGTTTAGTTTTAGATATAAGGCAATTTTAGAGCAGTCAGGGGAGGAAGGAAGTCAAGGGTGGAAAAAGGGGGAGGAATGAAGTTTGTAAAAATAAATTATATACAAGCTTTGTTTTCCTATATGCAATTCTGGATTAGTATTGATACATAATACTGGTGGGAGTAAAAGAGAGAATGCAGGAATTTCTGTAGCAGTTCAGACCTGTGGGCTCTTTTAGCCCAGAATTCATCTCTGTCTGTGGACAGTGCCAGATACTTCAAATAAAAATTGAAGGAGTCTCCCTCGTGGATGCAGTTTCCCTCCAAATTCTAGGGTAGAGATAAGTTTAACTAAAAGAAATGAACTTTTCCTATAGCGCCTTGTTTCGCTGGAGGTCTTCTGAATGCCAAAGAAATGTCTGATCTCACTGAGCTTCCAGGTTTGAAAAAAAGAAATATCCCAAACTAATAGAAAGTATTCTCTCAGGTGTCTTTGCTTACATAAGCAAAATAATATTTTTTTTCCCCAGTCAGTTAGGCTCAGTCCTTAAAAGACTGAGCTATTTATATTTGTGGTCACTGTAACTCCTGTATTCACCACTTTATACTAGCAGAATGGCACTGTGGAAGTTGAAAGTGTCAATAGTGACGAGATACAACAGCAAGCACCAACTGTATGTGCTAGCTAGTATGAACAAAAGTGCATTCACATAAAAGCATGTATTGTTACCTCCTGTATCATTAAAGCTTCATCTGCTTTTAAAATAGTGGAATAAAGGACAAAGCAAATATGCATTCTTTGTGGAGGTAATTGTTAATAAAGTGGATATTTAAAGGGAACCTATTAAATTATCAAAATGTCTGAGTGCTTCTTTATGTATGTATATACATTCATCTACATGCTTCTGCATTAATGCATGTGTATATATATACATTCAGTATACCTACTGATGCACTGAGATGTAGGTACGTATATTGAATCTGTAAGTTAAAAATCCTTACACTGACTGAATCAATTTAAAATACTGTGATCATTATCATAAGTGAGAAAGTCTATTCATGGCACAGGGTGTTAAGTGTAAATGTATTTTCCATCTCAGCATGGTTCAAAGCAAAATGAAATATAACTACCTAATGACTGGGAAGCCTGTTAGTGTGTGCCATAGTGCTGATGGATAGCATGGGAGAGAAACACAAATTCCAGAGCACTTCACCTTCTTACTTATATCAAGAGCATTACACAATCGTTTAGGCTTTGGTGACTTGTGGTTCCATAATGTCTGCCCATTACAGGAAAGCAGATGCAAGAGATTGTTGTGCTGAGCAGCATTGCCCCTTCAGCAGTGTGTTCCAGGAGTGCCTGCCCGCTCATCTGCACAAGAGAGATAAAAGTCAATATTGCATTAATCAATTAGCTTCTGCCTTTGTGTCAACTGTTTATTAAGGAAGGATTTGTCCTCTTCTTTTTGGACATAGAAGAGTGTCCTGGGTAGCTTCACACCTCAGAGCTGGGCAGGCAGCACTGCTGATGTGGTGATGTTTGAAGTCTGTGAGCTGGATACCTCTACTTTTATTCACATTGAGTTATGATTTATTTTGTGGATAACCTCACTGAGTTCAAGGTAACTATCTGCACAGGGAGATGCACTGGTTAACGTGAGCAAGAATGGCAGGGTCTGGCCTGTGGGACTTGAATGTCTAGAATGAAACCCTCCTGTCATACAGGAGTTGACGCAGTGTCACAGACTATCACAGCTTAAAGCAAGCTCCCACCTCAGCTGAGATGTGAGCGACTGTTAATGAAACGGACAAAAAAATACTGCTTGTATGATGTAAAATAATCCGATTCTGCAGAAAGATGCACAAACTGGAACCACTTTTGCAGATGTTTGATGAGTTTGGGGCTGGGCATTGGTTTCCTTTTTTTTTTTTTTTTTGTTCCCAGCTGATAGTGGAGGGGGGCGTTGCATCATGAAGTGCAGCCCGTAACTCAGATGGGCAGTGAACAGGTGGCACATTGTTTGTCAGGCTATTTCATATCATGGAAACCATTTGTCCAGTTTTAGATTGCTATTACCAGCAGTGTATCTTCTAGTTATGAGAAAGAGAAGAGGTTATTTAAAACTTAGGCTGCCCCTGTTTGCCTTTCAGAACATGCCAAGTGGGTTTTAAAAAGGAATGCCTAAAGATCCCAGACATTTTTCCATTAGTTGTTTAATGCTGCTCTCATTTATTTCCAATGTGGAGTGAATAGGTTAAGAAAGAGCTGTCTCAGCAGTTCAGTTCAATGAGACATGGATGGATAGACTTAGAAATGGTGTTTGAGGCTCAAGTAGGGATGAGCAAGGACAAAGAGGGGGACTAGTTCTGATCTCCTGGGTGTTCTTCATTTTAATGGTCTATATACAGCCTGTTTGGATGGAGCGCAGCCAGGACTTCAAGACTGCAGAACTGGTATGTATAAAAGGTGACACCTCTCAAGCATCTCTTCAAGTCAGGTCAGAAGAGACAGACGAATTATATGAAATTATAAATTGAAATGAAATTATATATGAAACTATATGAAATTATATTATATGAAAGTCTCCAATGGACTCTCACACCCAGAAGCTGCTCTACCAAAATACAGCATAAGCAATTTGCTGGGAAGAGGGTGACATAGAAGGAAACAAGCCCTTGATCAAGCAGAGCAATAACACTAAGTGACCAAGACGCATTTTGAACTTTCAAGAGTATGAAGGATGATACAATTTTTGAGCTTTTTCTGATGAATACCTGAGACTCCATAGTGACAAAAGATTCACGTGCTCAGAGACTTTGGAAGGGGATGACCATGGGGAAGAAGGTGGTGTTGTGCAGAGAGATATGTGATAGAGGAGCATCAGGCTCCTTGGAAGGAGAGAAAGTAAAATCCCAGTCTGGAGCCACAGATGTTTGAGCTCTACCATAAGAAAGAAATCTTCAAATTTGTATCTTCACCTGCTGCCCTGTGTACAGGACTAAATACATTGGTGGAGTGTATTAACAATAGATTTATAATAATTTATATTGAAGTAAACCCATGTCACCATTGATAAAATTGAATTAAAAAAATAAAAAATAGGAGTAGGCTTTGGAATGCTTTCTCCTTTTGAATTCTAGTAGCTAATAAACTTTCTCAGAAAATCTTATTCCTTCAGCTGATGTCTGCTGGACACTCTTGGAACAGAAACAGCCGTGTTTCAGCAGAAGTGGCCGTAGTACTACTGCGAAGAGGCAATCAGTCTTCTTGCTCATGATCTAAATGGCAGCTCAGTAATTCAGTCAATCTGACTCCGTTCCTTCCCTCAGAGGACAGGACTTTGCAGCTATGTAAGGGACACCTTGATGTTACAACTAGCCTATGGCAGGGGCTAACATGAGGGACATCCCTGCTATTCCTCTGCCATCAGCAACTTGCCTCACATGGGGTCTTATACTTTTGTGGTCATAGACTGTTTACAATTTTTTTTTCTCTAATGCCACTGTCTTTCTAAATCTATTGCAGTTTGCCAAGAATCTAATCTATATCAAATGAGATCTCATGATAAATGGCACCCAACCTGCTAAAATATTCACTGATTTTCTCTGATTGCTAGCTTTAAGTTCTCAAACTTTTGAAAACTCTTAAAAGCTATCATAACTCCATTTTAGGATGCTGACTGTGACTCAAGCTTTTCAAAGTGTAATAAGGAATGGCAGTTGCAAGACACCATTTTCTGGGCAGATTTATATACAGAGTTTGTTACCACTATGGATTTTAGAAGCTATGGCCATTGTTGATTTTATGTTACTCGTCCTCTGGCCTTCTCTTTATTCTGCTTACTGCTAGTGATTGCACAGGCGTTATATAATAATTGGTAGTCAGATCTTCCATACTTTGTGTGATGCTTATGGAATTTTACTGTTCCTATTCAAAATAAATAACTTTATCTTTGAATTGACAGCTTCCAACTTCAGCATATGGGTAGTCTGAAGAATCACTAAATCCAGCAAAGGGGAAGGAAAAGTTGAAATATTCCAGATTCTAATTATTCAGTTAAACAGATGATGTGTCCGTGTGTACAGTTTTCTTCCCTAAAGTACTCTGTAGACAAAACAGGTGAATAAGAGTATGAGTGGAGACATTTTAATTTCAATAGTTTTTGTTCAGAACATAAGAATTTCTTATAGTTGTGGACATTTTGCTTAAACTGTGGGAATGGTGCCTTTACCTTAAAATGTGCTTACAGAAAATGTTCATATATTTTTTTAAACAGTAGGAGATTATGCAGATCTTAGAATTCTTCCTCTTGCAGATAATCAGGTGTCAGGCGTTCTGAAATTCTAGATGGAAGTTGGGGTGTTTTCTGTGTTATTTGTGTGTGTGTGTGCATTGGTGAGAGGTGATTTTTTTCTTCCTCCATCTGCAAGACTTCTCCTTGTAGAAGGTGATGACTTACTCCAAAAGGAATATCAGCACATTTAACTGGAATTATGTATTCTACTCAGTGATCCAACAGCCCATAGAGCTGTAACTACATAAGTACAGAGCTATAGATCAAAGATTGTATTTAACTTGTTCAGGAATAACTCAGAGAGATGTCATGGAGTTTGAGGTCCTGGAGCTCTTCAGAAACATCTTCTTCCAGTGTTCACTGCAGGTTTATTTCACGTAGGTTTATGGATAGATTACACATTTTCTACCTGTGATGGTAGCTGCAGATGGCACTGATTATACAACATGCTAGAAGGATGCAGAAATATATCCTGCAAGATTAAGCATTTTGAAGAGGAAGCAAAAACTGGAACTTCTCTTAAAATAAATTTCAAATACTAGTTTTCTAAAATGATAAAATTTTCCATTCCAGCTGTACTTACTGCTAATCTTAAGGTTATATGATTTTGAAAATATTGCAGTTGAAGATCTTACTCCTATTTTTTAATTGCAAAAATAGAAGATGAGTGAAAAACATAAATGAAAGCTCCATTTTTTTTTTCCTTAGATGCTTCGGATGATGAAGCATCAATTGAAAAACCAAGTGATGAGACAGCAACATATAAAGGTCCTGATTCCAAACCTGCCGTGACAAAGAAAAGAAAACAGGTATGTAAGTTTAGCAGTTGTGTAGACCATAGAGATGATATTGCAAGTGAAATGTAATCCCCGCTGATTCACTATAAAAGGATGATTTTCTTCACTTTTTGCCTTATCTGATCATATGATAGGATTTTTGTATATTTTTTTTAATTATTTTTGCATTATTTGGAAGTGGTCTCCAAGTGCATTTTGATAATAGCTTTTGTTTGATGCCATGATTGTCTCCAGCTAAGAGAATGCCTACTGATAAATGCCTGAGTAGTGCTACTATGTCCTTATATTTTCCCTTTATATTTCCCCTTATATTTGCCCTTATCTTTTCCCTTTCCCTGCACACGGAAAGTCCTCAAAGCTGTGTCTTAAATGTTGTTTTGCTTTACACAGAATATATCCAGGAAATGGCAGCAAGGTCTTTGTCAGTCAGCATCGCTTTAGCAGGACAGAATTATCTAGACCTCAGCTTATTTCAAGGAGTCTCTTGTTTGAAAGTTAATTTCTTCTGCCTTCCGTGTATCGTTGAGTAGTATAGACTGAATGGCTGTCAAGTTGGTAAAATGACATTGGAGACTATCTCTCCTTGAGAGTATGGATATTAATTTAGACCCTAGGTCAGTAGTAAATTCACTGTATGATGCCTAGCCAATAGCCCAAATGAAAATCCTTTGTAACTCTGTTCTTTGTTTAGTAACAGAGAAGTGTAGTACTTATTATGTTTTGGTGTCTTTCCAAAGAGACCAAAGGTGAAATGAGTCAAATGTCTCAACTGATTCCACATTTTGATCAGGAAGGAGAAAACTAAGTAATATAGGAGAAAGCCTTTGTATATGCCTTATCTGAACATCAAATGCAAGGAATTCAACTCAGTGAGGATGCCTATGGAACTTTTTTTTTTTTTTTTTTTAAATCGCAACTACATTCACTTATGTATTTAGAACAAAGTAAAGATGGGTTTTTTTTTGGAGGAGTTGCTTTGCCCATTCTGTGAGAACATTAGAAAGGATCTCTGACACAGATTACCCTGCTGAGGAGGACTGGGTCTGCTCAGCTGCAGTCGGCCTCCTGCCTCAACTCTTTCGGTAATATAAAGAACATTGGTCTGTGTTTTGGAACATTCTAAGTTGATGTTTAACAATAAAACTGGAGGCAATGATTTTTTGGGAGCTCAGTTGCCTGTGTTGTTGCATATCTTTTAGAGCAAAACTCTTGCAAAGTTTGGGTTTACAAGCTTTCTCTAAAGGAAACTAGTAGTTCGTAGTTTCAGTTCTTCTAGCAGTCTATCCTACTCACTCATTTCTGCCTTATTCACAGGCTGGAAGCTATTCTGCAGTGGTCTTGGCGTGTTAAAGCCAGTCAGGAGACAACCAAACAGAATTATGAACATTTATGTTTCCATTCTGCAGACTGTCCACAGAATTGCAATGAGATGAATAATTTGTCTCCAATCTGAATGGAGCATTGATGTGTTTACTTTGTCACAGGCTCCAAAAGTCAGAGTACATGGCTGACCTAGAATGTAAACTTTCACACACATGCAAGAATGTTTTCACTTTACATTTGAATTTCCAGTAACTTGGCAACTTCTTAAGAAAAAAGTTGTGTTAGAAATATAATACAGGAAATATTTTATGTTCTGTCTATGATTAACAAACAAGGAATTTATGACATTTTAGTTCATAAATCAGTGGTCTCAGCATAAATTTCCTGTTTTCTGCATTTTAAGAACTTCCACATAAAAATAGCATAAAAACACAGAGCACAGGGGAGCCATGTCAAAAACCAGCAGGTTGTCTGCTTTGTGTCTTGCATAAGAAAAGCATGTAAATGACATTTTCCTAAGGGTGCCATGCAAACAACTATTGCATGAGTAGGTAGGCAGCTAATATTTGGTTAAGGGTCAGAAGTTCAGTTAGATCAGATACTTAAATATTTTAGACTACAGATCATCAAAGACACGTAGATTTACAGCCATTCACCACCGTGAAGTTTATTTTTCTCTAATGTCTGAATAGGACTTGCTAACAGCATGCCATGCCTAAATACCTATATATGTTGCTGTGAAGAAGGGATTTTTGAGTCCTAACATGATTTTCTGAGGAAGCAAGCCTGCTGTGTGCTTCAGTTGCAGTTGAAAGAGAGGGCTATACACTGTCATCAGAGAAGAAACCAGTCCATGACACTTTTAAGCGTTTGAATGAAAGGCTTCTAGTCAGAAAATTTTGTTTCTCATATAAATTATTTTTCAGCTCTGTTATTTTTTTTCCTTCTTTACATATATACAGGTTGGGAGCTTGCATGGAGTTGGAGATTTATATAAAACAGTTCATACAGCACGTAAAGGAAGAAATGGGCTCAAAGTGAACAAGGCTTTTTTTCTTTATACTGAAAAGGTCATAAATAGTGATGATGTTAGCTAGGATAAAGATCCATCATATTCTATGGGAAGAAAGAGATTCAGGTTGGCCCATTTTTTAGCTTTTTGGTTTCTTGATAGTATGTCATGACTAAATCAATTCACAGGCTTGTTCTCTGCATAAAATCTAATGTCAAACGTGGAATTTATGATAGTAACACCTGGCAAGTCGACTTCAAGTGTCTTGGACAGCTGGAATACGTAAGGATAGATCAGGAACTTAAGGCAGAATGTAGCTGTGCTTCAGTCTCAATGTCTGGGAATGCTAACAGCAGGGCTAGGAACAAAGAAATGTATGGTGTTCTTCTTATAACCACTAGAATCTAAGACAGGACAGAGATATATATAAATCATGAAACATTAATCCTGAAGCACTTTTTCTAAATGAAGTGAGTTTGTGCTTGCAGTTAGTTCTTTGATTATTCCTGGCAAAACAGTGGGGACAAGTCTTTACTTGTTATGGCAAGATACCGTCCCTGTCACAAGTTCTTATTGATCCAGGCTGTGTTATATTCCAGCCCTGTCAAGTGCTTCGCTGGCTCTATTTAGTCCCCACAGCCACATCTGCTGTGGTAATTCCTCAGTATCATTTCAAGCCTCAGAGAGTTTCAGAGCTGCTTTTATACATAACTACTGCTTCAGCAAGTGCATGACTCTGTATCACACAGCACAGTAAACAGGAGCAATCAATAGGTCATTTGTTTGCAAGGAGCATGGTGGTTCCCTTGTTGCTATATCTGAGTTATCAGGGGAAGCGGGGAAGATAGGAAAGTGGATTTGGAGAGGCACAGACATGCTGGCCAGGCTCATGTAGAACAAGTGATTATGAAGGGCCCTCCTGCTGTGACAGCAGCACAGGAAGCACTCAGAGGGGCTCAGCTGTTCTGAACCTCTTATTAATTTTTCTCTGGCCCTGCTGTAGTTGCCCTGAAAAGGGAATGAAGGAGCAGCTTCTCTGGCTTTTGATCAGACTCTTTTCTGCTCGTTCTCTTCCTCCAGGCCCACCCCCGGGAGCACTACTGGACTCTGAGTTTTTCTAATGCTTCTTGTGATGAGTCGTCTTCACTATTTCTTACAGAAGCAGATTTTTCCAGCCAAATGCATCCTCGTATCAAGGATTTCTTTCTTGAAGTTCATTTTCCCCTTTCACTTTGGCAAATCACCTATTAAGTTAAAAAGTTTTTATAATACAGACTCATTTGTGTTACCAGAAAGTGGACATCCCTCAGAAGGAAAGAGAATTGCTGTGCTTATAAATCTGTGCCTTATTCCTTCTGGTTTGTCTTTCAGAGAAATCCTAACCTTGGCTTATGTGAGCAGGGACTCTTACAAATGGATCACTTCAGCCTGCTTGCTCAGGAACAAAAGTGGGTTAATAATTGCAACATGTGTTGGATGAAGATTATTCTGAAATGCAACATGTATTTTTCTTATGCATATTTGACCCTGTCTGTTATGAGGAGGCAAAGCAAGAATGGAGCAGAACAAATTTGAAACACGTTTTCCTAAATTTTGCTTTGCAAATGTCAAAGGAAATTCAGAATATTGATATTTTCCATTTATTGTCACTCAGTTCCATGGTATCTTGCACCATCTGAAAGCTCGCACGAGGCTGGTTGTTTTAAGGTGTTACTGGAAAAATTTAGAAAAATGATCATGCACAGTAATAGAGATTAAAAGTATATGGTTGTTGAAATATTTTCTTCATGTTTTCCTTTTTTTTCTAATTTATCAAAGCTGCTTTTCACCATCTTCTGGAAGCATGTCTACAACCGGTGTGTTTCAGCGTTCTGTTCTTTTATTCTTCTCTTGGTTACAATAACATAAATCTCAATTCCAGAATTACTCCAGATATAGGGCGTTGTAAGAAATTGAACCTTTCTACAGGTAGGAAGGTTTGGTTTTGTTTTTTTCCCTTGCCTAGCATTCCTGTGTTTTCTCTTGCCTCCCTGTGGTGATGTTTTATTTTCCCCAGGTGATATCTAATACTGAAACTTTCTTTTTTACTTCTTTTTAAAATGTGTTTTGCAGCCTACAGAGTGTTTTCTAAGTCAGCCTGAAGAAACACCAGGGAGCACTCTAAAAGCAAAGAAGCGAAAGAAGGTATGAGTGCCCTGAGGTGTACTTGGGGACTGGGCAGTGGGTGTGCCTGCTGCTGTGGGATTCCAAATTGGGTCAACTTTGTTGCTGTGTGAAGCTACGTAGTGTTGCAGCCTTTATTTTAGAGAAGAATAAAAATCCCCACTTTTATGACTTCAGTCAAATTATCCATTCATTACATGAACTGAACTGCAGAATTGTGCCTATGCTCCTCACAAGGGTTGTGCGTTATTTATACCCACCTTGCAGGTGTGGCACACCAGGAAAATGAAATTGGCAAAGATGGCAATTCAGTTTCTGCAGCATCTGCCCTGATTCAGCTGTGTGAACAGGCTCCAGCATCCTTTGCACCAAGAACTGCCCTTGTTCCCTCTTCTCCTGGCATAAGTATATAAATAAATACTCTGGGCTGACCGTCTGGCTGTGCTCCATCTTCACTCAACAACAAACAGTCTGCTGTCTAGATGGAAATAATATGGCACTAGGCAAGTTAATTATCTTTTGGGACAGCCTGTGTTAAGTACTTGGCTCCCTCACAAGGGTGGCTTTTTTAGGTTATGTCAGGCCTCTTAATCAGCCGGTGAATGGGCAGAGTTGAATTTAGCCTTCAAAGCAGCTCTGACAGAAGTGACCATGGAGCTTGATCCACTTCAGCCAAGTGAAAGCATTCCACCAGAGAATGGTGCAGCAGCCCTAGGAAAAAGACCCTGTTCCTAGGCAAACAACAAGCATTTGATTACATCTTTGGTTTCACTGAGGCTAGGCCTCTGAAATGATGTACACAGCCTGTTAGCAAATGCATCAGGAAATATTTGTCAGATTGATCCATTGTTTCCAATCAAACTCTTCTCACTAAATAAAAGGAGGGGAGGGGGGAAACTAACAAAAAAAGAAAGAAAAAAGAGAAACACAAAAAACACCTTTGCTTTTAAGCATCTGGAACAAATTGGAAGAAAAATAGTAAAACTTCCTGTGTTAGGACCATTTCCCCATAGCTCTCCTCAAAGGAAGAGAGTTTGTTCAGGTGTCCTTACTCTTATGGACTTTCTCATTAGTATCAGGCTTCTCCTCTCAAGAGTACCATAATTTTTTTGGAGGAATCAAGTGGCCCAGTAAATGACATAATGGTCCTGAGGAGTGACAGCTTGCACTGAGTTACCAAGTGAAATGAGCCCAGCACTTCTGTGTTATTGTCTGCTAAACCAATGATTCCCAAATGCAGGTCACTGAACAAGCTGGAGCTGGAGAAGAACATTTCTCCTTAGGACTCTGCCTTTTATATTTGCTAGGAATAACGAAGAAGGAGCTCATTTGTGGACCTCATGCAATAGCTGCGTGTTCTGTAGGTGGCCTGTGGCCATGCCTGGGAGAGGCAATTGTTGCAAGGCAGAAAAATGTGAGTGTCAAATGGTGGTGAAGCTTGAGAAGAAATATTGCAGATTCAGGTACCAGAGAAGCCAACCAGCTGGAAGTCCACAGGAGAGTCTTCCAGTTACCATAGATCAACCTTTGGACCACACCAAAGGTCAACCTAGAAGAATATAAGCCTTGCAGTGACCCACCACCCCTCCACAGCTGCTAAAAGTGGTTCCAAGCCCACTTTGTCTCACTGCAGGATCACTTTTCCTCACAACAGATGCTCTGTTGTAAGCATGCTGTCCTTCTGCTCTTCACTTCTAGGCTTATACTCCTACTCATCTATATGACAGCAAGTTCAGTTTAGCTTGTGCAGCTGAGAAACTGCAAGCTGTCCTTTCACAAATGACTAATTTCTCAGTGAGAATAAGAAAGGCTTCAGATCCATGCTGTTCTCTCCAGAATGTCTCTATCCTTGAAAATCTGCTGTATTCTTAAATGCTGACAGATCATTCAGATAATGGGTATCCTGGGCTGTTCTCCCTTTATCATCCAATTTAATTATGTTAAAAAATATGATAACAGTTTCTTTTTAGTGAAAATTCAAACCTGTTACTTGCTAACGTTCTAAGGCATAAAGCATAATTGTTATGAACTCTTCTCCAAGCTCAAAATACTAGTTAGGTTTGAAAAATCAGGTGTTTTGGGAGAGTAAAACAGCTGCTGAACTCCTTCTGCTTGATTTCTGGTTTGGTGAGCTTTAAACTCATTTTTGTTATGGGTTTTGTGATAATGTATATTGTGAATCTAGTTAACCATCTTCTCTTCCCAAAGAGATGGATAGTTACCCTGTTTAACTTAAAATATAGCTGTCTTAAGGTATTATTTGATTTCTATGATTAATGCTTTAAGGACAATAAATTAAAACAAATGATGAGAAAACTCAATTTTCAAACTGCTTCAACAGCAAAACCCACAAAAGTGTTTTTCAGTTATGTTTTTGTTACAGCAATGTTTTAGGTAAGTGAACAAGAGTTTCTGTCTTCAGGGTCCCAGGCCATTGTGTCAAAGTGTCTGAGCTTTATCCTGAAGTCTGTGTTATCACTAAAGACAGTGGGAATCATGTCCTGTTAAAGACCTATTTAGTCAGGCTTTTGTTAATGCAATTCACTGTATGAAGTTATGGAAGAATGTTTATTTACAATGTTGTTATCTGTGCTAAGAACAGATATGATAGATATAACATATGCTGTTATTTGTCTTTTTAGAAGAAAATTTCTGATGTTCTGGAAAAATCTCCTCCAAAACCTGGTGTCCCTGAGGATCTACAGAATCTGCTTAGTCAACATTTTGGTACAAAACGTTCAGTGATTGAAATAGAGGAATTAAAGCTGCCAGGTAACTTGTCCTGTATTATATATATGTATATTTATTTTTTTTCCATGGGGCTAATAAGTTGTTTTTCTGTAGGAAAAAAGGAGACTTTTGGGACAGGCTTTGTGAGATGTAATCTTTTATTGAAATGTTTGTATATACCATTTATTACTTTGCTTCTAAGAAGAGGCATTAATTTCTTTGAAACAAATCCGAGTAAGAATGTGTCTTATTATAAAAAGGTATTAATTTTAGAAGCTTGCTTTTCTACTAGAAATTGTAAGATTCCTAATTAGTATGTTCCATGATGCTGGTTGAGAAAAACTGTGAAAATATATTTCATTTCTGGGATTATCCATGTCTACCCAGATGTGTAATAGGAAGACTGAGAGGAGTAGACAAAGAAATAACAAAACGTGATTCTGGTGTGGTTATGAAATATTGAACACAATGGATTTTCAGGGAGTGGCATGGAAAAAAAGGTGGTAGTTTTGGTCCTAGTTGAAAATGAACAAGTTTTAACCATGACTCTGACTCTCTTGGTTTCCTTTACTCTGTCTCCAGTTCAAAGCTAATGACAGAAAAGTCAAAGCAGGAGAGAGCAGGGGTAGCTTCTGTCTGTCAGCTTGAGATTGCATTAGAGATTAAAGCAATGTTCTCTGCCTCCTACTCTAGAGATGAAGAGGCACTGTCATTTTCTAGGCACTATTCCATTATTTGTTGAGAGTGCATGTGAAGAACAAACTGTCTGGTAACAAATCTGCACATATTAATACTTCTTGAACTGTAGGTGACCTATCCCTAAACTAGCACCCTTCTAGCCCAGCAGTGCTTTCTCTCTTTTAGTGTTTAAGCTTGGCTTTCTAATAAATATGCTTCTCTTTAGGATCACGAGTCTATGTTGACCTTTCCTTATTTCTTTGGGCCAGGTTCAGCTTTCTTATTGAATCAAGAAAACCTGGAGAAGTCCCCATGTAGATTGCTTTCAAAAGCTTATGTTAAATATTTCTAGGCATGTAGAGATTTAGCAAATAATAAATTGCTTTGGTTTCTTTCTTATTGAAAGAGGTGTTTAGGTTAGTGAAGTGATCCATTTCCACATGGCTCTTGGGTTGGATGGGGATTTTTTAATCTTTCTTTTTGTGCTGGGAGTTGGAGGCTGAGAAGCCAAGCAGTTCACTAAACTTCTACAGCTGTCAAGTCATTCACGTCAAAGCACTGAGCAAATAAGCAAGTACTTAGAGTTGTGTGTTCTTGTTAACTGACACAGTGCAGAAGGTCGGGCTTATAGGCAGCATGATCTCTTGCTGCATGCTGAAGCTGTGAATTTTTTCCCCCCTTTCTGAAATTTTAAATAAAAGTTGTTAATACTCAGTTTTGCTGGAGTGTTGATGAAAAGTCAGTAACTGATGCTCATATGCTTTAGAAAACACCTTCTGAATTGTTTAGTCAATAATGTCAGTATATTCAGAACAGCAAAACAACAGCTAATGTATTTTGTCCACCAGGGAAAAGGACTATGGTGGGTGATTACAGTTCTCCTCTTACCACCAAATGTTTATGATACTCTGCCAGTCTTTGCCCTTCCCCACCAGCATCACAAGCATCTCTTAAACATAATTTAAAAATTAAATCAGCTGTTGATGCTTCAGTTGTACACATTCAACTTCCTTTGGAGCTGAAGCCCCAGTAAATGTCAATCTTTGGTTTTAATAGAAAGGATTGGGGAAAAATAGAAGTTTTTGGCAAGACAACACCAATTAAACGAAGGATATAGTGATGGAAAGTGGTTATTCTCAAGAAACTATACAGGCAGGCTCCAGCTACAAGCCAGGTTTGTCACACTCTCTGTTCTGGTAGAAACCATGGACTGACAGTGCCAGCATTAGCACAGTGTGCCATCCACATGAAGATAAATAGCATGTGTAGGGAAACCTCTTTAATTTAGTTAAAATGTATCAGCAAACATCTCATTCCAGAGAGAGGAACTCTGAGGTGCAGTGCTTCATGCAAAATGGCAGCAAATATGTGAGTCCCCAAAGATGGGGTTGTTAATGCTATGATGGAGAATATTGTTCCATCAGGCAAAAGACCTATAACAGCTATGGCAAGTTTTCAGGCCATCTACTTTGAATCAACTTTTTAAGAACCTACTTTTTCTATATAGGCACTAGAGAAAAGAACTTTCCTACCTTAGTTAGGACGTTGTCTTTTTTTGTTGCCCCTATAACGGACCTTAAAGGCAAATAGCATGTCTGTCATCTATGGTCCTTTTCAGATTTACTTCCTAATGGCATAGGTAAAAGATAGGCAATCCATAGGAAATGAGAACAGGAGTCACAATGCAATATAGGTGCTACTATTGTGGCTAGTACTTATAGGTAAATTGCCACAATATGCAAGACCAGAAAGTGAAGCCAGCTCACTGACGGATGAGTGGCCAGTATCTCACTTATTGGTAGGTTCTTGCATTTACACATTTGGCTAAAACCTTTGCTTGATTGTGGTAAAAAAGAAAAAAATATGGAAAATTGTTTTAAAGCATGTGATCACCCTTAGGCAGCCCTGTGTTCAGAATTTAATGGTAGGATAAAATGGAGGAATTGTAAATGGGTGGTAAGGTGTTACCCTTGTTGACTTACCCAATTTAAAGCCTCAGTAAAATGAGGTGTTCTTGAGTCTTTTTTCACAAAAAGTAATTTATTGATGATGAATTTTAACACGCATATGATTTCATCAATGTAATTAACTAATAACTGTGCTGCACACATTTAAGCTCTATTTTTCTGTTCTTAAAAATACATCAACAAAAATATTTTCTCCTTTATGTTTTCAGATTCTTGCTTTTTGCCAGCCAATGACCTCACCCACAGTTTTTCTTCATACCTGAAAGAAAGTAAGTTAAAATGTTGGTCTGGATGAAATGAAAGTTGTATGAAAAACATTATTTATGTGCTATTATTACAGCTTTTATCTGCACTCTCAAATATTTTTAATTATGTGTCGTTAATAATTTCCAGGGTGGTGACTTTTTTTTTTTTTTTCGTTTGTTTGCTTGCTTGTTCTATGAGAGGTGTTTTGTTTTGTTTTACAAAATAACTTTTGTTTTGGACCTAAATGTTTTAGTTTCTTCAAACTATTTGTCGTATTATTTGTCATAAGTTGTTTGTTGTGGCTTCTTGAGTAGATATGTATTATCTTACAGTAATAGTTTTGCCACTGCCTCCTTACTTGAACCAAGAGAATTATTTTCTCTCTTGTAGAGAACTCCTGGTTTGGTAAATGTTTGAATTGGTTTTACCTGGTACAAATTACCATATGTGTCAAATGAAGACAGTGGGCATGTCACCTAACCAAATATTTATTTTTAATGCTGTCTAATTTGTGCAGCATTATAACATATCTGTATTTTATCTATCTTGGGTGTTTTATTTTCCAGTTTCTCAGCCGTGACTAAATGTAACAGTGTTGCCAGAGATCCAGACCTCATAGGAGTCAGCATGTGTGTTCTTGTTGCTGGCTACCATTCATCATGTACTCTTGTAATATAAAATTGTGGCATGTATATAAGTAGTACTTTCTCTGACTGTGTATGTGGCCTTTTTCATTTCAGTCTGTCCTAAGTGGGCAAAATTCCGTAAAAACCACAAGGAGAAGAAGTCAGTGGTGATGCTGGTTATCTGCAGTTCTGCCCTTCGTTCCTTGGAACTCATGAAGTATGTTGATAGCAAACGTTTTGCTGAGGTTGGCTGTCAGTCAGAGGTTTTGTCTTGGAACCACAGACATAAAGGCAAAACTGGGACACTGTTCTTTGCTAGCCAACAAATTTACTGACTGAAACTGATGCAATATCCCTTGCTGCTTTAAACTGTGGGAGTGCGGTGTTTGGTTTTAGCCTAAAGTAACACTTAGTAGTTCAGTTGCATGGAAGCACTGTTTCTGTTGAAAAACAAAACTGAAGTGTAACCAATCTGGGAGGAACACGCAACGTGTTATACGTGGGAACAAAGTAAACCCACAAGGCGTCCTAATCAGCAGTAGAAGTCATGACTGTAAGGCCATGATGCTGATAGCACCAAAAGCAATGAAACAAAGCATTGCATAGCCTCAAATGGCAATGTATGTGTCTGGCCTGAGTGCCTCCGTATCTGTGTCCATGTCTCCTTTTTCCTCTCTCTCCTCCCCTATTCATTCCAAAAGACTGAACGTCCATTCCAAAAGACTGAACAAAAGACTGAATGAATTAACGTATACCTTGGAGATTTCGTGTCTGTCAACTGTGTCTTGACCTTGCTTCCTAAGATTATCTTTCTGTACAACATACAAGCAAGAGTTGAGAAGTTTATGCTGCACTTAAAAGCATTGATGTCGTAGATGTGCCTGTAGTGCTCAGCTCCTGTATGCAGATATTAGAATCTGTTTGTCTGTATACTTGTATATAACCTTTAGCCTTGCACAAGAGAAGTTTGAAAACTTGGCTCACCACAAAAAGCATGCAGAGGAAAGTATCTTAAATGACATTCCATAAATACTGACTGTGTAGTCCCCTCCTTGACTAATACAGAACATGGAGTTCTTAGTGCATACTCAAATAGAGCATCAAAAGAATAAGTCAGGTTTTCAGACTAATGAGTTTTGGTCCTCTGGAATTTGGACAATCTGACCAGGAAAACATGTGGCAGGCTAGGTTTTCCCAGCAGCCATGCTTCAGGAAGATTTTTTAAAATGTACATTCATCCATACACACACAGCTCTTTCCTTTGCCTGCATGCATATGTTTGTTGATGCCTATATGTCAGTAACAGAGCAGTTTTTAATTACAATTTGATGATTAGTCAGTTTTGAACTGTTAGTTGTGGAAGCACAAGCTGTAACTATTCAACATTATCTGAGAAGCTATCTAAGCAATATTGCCCTCTAGTGATATCTGCTATTGTATTTGTCCAGTTGTTTATCACTGCAAATAATGAAGGGAGACCATACGTAGTGTTCACAGTACTAGTGTGGGTCACTAGGGGAACTGTGTCTCTCAAGTATGTTGAGAAATCCTGGCTAGTTTTGTTTTCCTCCTGTGTGGTCTTAATCTCAGCCCTGATACTTGCATTTCCTTCTTCTTTTTCTTTTTATTTCTAGGTCAATGACAGTATTTAAAGGCGACTGCAGAGTTCTGAAATTGTTTGCAAAGCACATAAAGGTAAGAAAGCTGCAAAAGTGACAGAAGAACTGAACTAACTAGTGTCAAACCATGTTTTTAATACGTTTAACAACAGTGCCTTTCATTTTAGCGTTTCTTTCTTCAGGTTTTGATTCTTGGAGAAACCTAGCCAAATACCATCTCCAGTAATTCTGGCAAAATCCTGTGCGGAGTATAAATGTTTATTCATTTGCTATGTGTTAAAGATATTCCACATTGCTGTGACATGCTCATTCAAATGTATTTTACCTGTTTAAATTGAAGACTCACGCATTTGTAAAAGCATCCACATTTGCACATGCTGATGAAATTGTCTAGTTATCCAGTATTCGTACGTGCTGGAAAGCACAAACTGTGGGAATATGGGAAGTAATGAGTGGAAATTTAGCCTTTGATATAAATACTGTCAAACACAAATGTCACTTGCTTTATTTCATTTTTTCCAATGTCACCATCTTGAGGGAGTTTTGATCTAAGTCAGATTTGTCAGTTTCCCAAATATTTACAGAGAATTTGTTTAAATACAGAAGAAAACCTACTGTTCTCACTTCCAGAAATAGTTGGTGCAATTGCAGTTATTCAAAACTGAAAATATTCTAAAGAATTGTGATGCCCTGCTGACTGTTATGCTCTCCCCAGAAGATCAGCTTGATAGCTTGATAGCTTGATAAATGAAAAGCATTTGTTACTTGATAGTAGTCTAGAAAGAGATACTGCATAATCTTGGATTTATTTCCAGCCTGGAGATGTTCTTTGAGAAGAAATTTGAAACAATTGTGGTTTCACTGTGGTTTGTCTTTCTTCAAATCAGATAAAAGAACAGATGAATATGTTGGAGAAAGGTGTGTTCCACATTGGAGTTGGAACTCCTGGGAGGATAAAAGCACTGGTAGAGCAAGGTAGGAGAAAAATGAGGATTTTATCAATGGGTTATCCTACACTTGATCTCAGAGGAAGTGAGACTTAGCTTTTGAAGTGCTTAGGTTGGTATGAGTCCATAGATTTAGGAACTAAGCTCTGCAGTTTTGCTTTTCCTCTTCTGTGTCAGTCAGAATGAGGTCAGTTAATAACAGTTGATTTAATAAACACTTTAAGCTGGAATAAATCAGTGTTACAAGAGAAGGGCAAAGTAGTGCCTCTCACACAATCAGTACCCACTTAGTCACCCCATCCTGTCTCTTGTTCTAGCACAAGGGTATGTTTGGCAGCTCAGTGACCTGATCCCAATTAGAACTGATCCCAATTAAAACAAAACCAGCATGCACACAAAATCAGGTAATGAACAGGCTAAGGTGGAGGACTTCCTCCTTTGGCAGGAATACTGATTTATGCTGACTTGAAAATGATTGCAAAACCATCATGTAAGATTTAAAGTTCCAGGAAACCAAACACTGCAAGTAAATCAGAAGGAAGTCGTCGTATCATATGTCACTCTGAGCTCAGCATAAATTTTTGTATGGGGTGGACAAGATCTGCTTGCTGATTTTAGTTATGATTTGTGCATGATAAAATCAAATATATAAATGTCCTTTTCTCTTTCCAGTTTTACTTACTCAGTAGTCACCACGTGCACAAATTAAAACAAACAAAAATGACAAGATTAGGCAATTCTTTCCATTTCTCTTTCTAAGCACTGCCTTTCCCCAACTATGATTTCTTGGTTAGGGTCTGCCTGTAGATTTGAACTCTAAAGCTCCTTCCAGTGGGGTACAGGAATAGCTTTTTTTTTTTTTTTTTTTTTTTTTTTTTTTGCTATGTCCCTCACCAATGATAAATTGTTGCTGTTCAACACTTTGGCATATTACCATGTAACTCATGTAGGGACACAAGGTGTCTAATCCTTTTTTGACAGCTTAGTGTTGCAGTGCTAGGTCACTGAAAAATGGAGAGGAGTAAAAAGTGATATGAAAAACTGTGGACAGCTTGTAGAAGACCAGGGAAAAATAGGAGAAATACTGGAGGGCAGGTTCAGAAAGGACCTTCTTCCTTCAACAGAATTTGTTTGGAGAATGAAGGAATCCTTCAACAGCACCACTGACCGGACTCACATTCGCATAGCACTTGATCCTTTAAATTCCTAAACACCATCAATTCACATTAATAAGATTTTTCAGGCTAAGGTCCTTGTAACTTACCAGCTTCTCATAAGCTGTGGAAATTCAACTCTTGTGGTTTCATCAAGAGGAAGCTTGAGGAATTATGTGCTGGCAGGATGTTAGCTCCTGACAAGCCTGGCAACAGTTCTGCTTTTGTGTTTATCTTTCAAAAAGGCATAGGATTATGTGGTTAAAGGAGTTTGCAGTGTCACTGCATTAGTTTTCCAAGCACAAATGTAGTGTTCAAAGATTAGTTTCTTTGGGAACAGACAGCAAAAGATGTAAAACATAGAAAACAATTTTGATATGCACATGCTATGTTGTCTTTTTTAGATGGCCTATGTTTGAACTCCACAAAATATATTATTCTGGATTGGAACTGGAGAGATCAGAAACTAAGGAGGATGATGGATATCCCTGAGGTATTGTAGGAGCACCTGTATATATAATATTCTGTGTACTCAGTGCTTTTGATTCTAGTGCCTTGGTCAGTAAGGATTTATTTCTGTAAAGCAGACTTAGCAGTCTAGGAATGCAAAAACAAGTCACTGTTTCACTTGAAAATCTGTACTCTTGGATCTCAAAATTACCTCTTGAGGAAGTTGGTTTCTTTTGTTGTTGTTGTTGTTGTTACAGGTCACAGCTGTGACTAATACAGCTGTGCTGTGAATTTCTGCTGTTTATGCTAAATAGTTGTTCTGCCTGTTCCCGGGAAATTCAGTAAGAGGACTTCATGCAAAAAAAAGTTTCCACAAAAACTAAATACAGCTTTGGATGGCATTTATTGGTCTCTGAGGGTAAAATAACTTTGTATAGTTAGGTTTTTTTTTTTGTTTTTTTTTTTTCCTTTTTTGAGAAGAGGTAGGTTGCAAACTATGTAGAACCATCCATTATTCATAGACTCTTTTTTAAGATAGCTCCCCATGGTTTTTAATTCTGTAATCCAACTTCCACATTAATTGCTATGACAAGATATGCTTACCATATGCTGTGGGCCATCAGCTGGTGTCCAGCAGAAAGAGGTGGATTGCTCTAGTGGTCTCTGCTAGAGAGCTCCCATTTCACTATACATTTTCACAGGCTGATGTGCATTCCATACTGGGAAAAGGCTTCCATTCGTGCAGATAGGAAGCTGTTTCACAAGTGAAATAAATGGTCAGTCATTATTCCTACTCTGCACCTGCCTATATCTTTGAATGTGCTGTATTTTATAGTCCCTCCCCACACACAAAGATGCAACTTTCTAATAATCTTGGATAAAGCACCCTGCAAAAAACACACTGCCAAAATGAAGCAGGGAAAAGAACAGCTTTGCATACTGAGGCTCCCTCTTGTGGTAAATGCTTGAGAATCTTTCGTACAGCGCTAGCACTTATTTGTAAGTTTTTTAACACCAGAGAACCTGCATTCACAGGCATGTTACCTCAGGAGAGTAGTACAAGTGCTGCTGCCACTGGGACAGATTTTTGTGAGTCAGCTGAAATAAATACACGCACAGTATCCTACAGGTGATCCATTGAAAAAGAAATAAATATTATATTGTTAACATTTGATTTGGGGATATTGCAAGTTTGAAACATCTTGTTCAGCTCTCTGTAGGAGGCATCACAGCATTTTGGCATGTCTGCCTAGGAATACAGGTCAAATTGACTTCGGCTCTATTTTGTTAAGGGAAAATGACCATCAATGAAATTATAGAAGTCAATATCCAGGCTTAGTTTCAGGTAAAACCAAGAAAGAATCTTACACTTTTGGACATAGTGTTAACCTAAGGATAGGTCCTTTATATTTGGTTACAGAATAGTGAATGTGATTACAGCAAAGTCTTCAGATCTGCCCTTGCCTCAGTTAAAACAAAGATTTTTTACATGTTGGGCGATGTAAGTGGAGTACCTTACAGCTTTTTTTTTCCTGCTGGAGACAGCACGTAGATTCCTGAAAGTTATTTTTAAGAAATATCTGTAATAAAAAATATCCAGCTAATGTTTTTGAAATAGTGCACCTTAATGCAGTAGAAGACAGTGGTATGTTAGCAGCTTGCAAACTTAAAATACAAACTACAGTCTCAGTAAGCAGCGGATCTTACTCTTCTATCTATAGAAGTATTGTCAAATGCATGATAATAATAGTCGTATGTTTACTCAAAGAGGTGATTTTTAGTTCCACCAGCATGAAAATTGGCAATTCAATGTTCTATTTTTCTTTATCCTAAATCAATTGTGGAGGCAAAATTGTGCTTTAGAATTGGAAAAAAGGCATTGTGACACGTTTCCATTGCAAATCTTGTTTTGTCAGTAATATCTTTATATGTTTAAGGTGTTACAGTGCTAAATTTTCATGTAGATAGACTTGTCTGCATAATGAAATGTGCAGAAAACAGGAACAGCTGGAAGAATACGTACCTTTTGTCTACTCATGGGAAAATCCATTGCTTCATTTTGAAGGTGCAAACTACTTGCTGTTCCTGTCCTCATCTCATCTTCAGTGGAGAATAATATACAGAGTGGTGTAATCTGAAATGTGTATGTATGTTTAGAAATGCACGAATCCTTCCCCATGGCAGTCCTATATCCCATTGTATTCACTGGATGGATGACCAGTGCTCTTTCAGTTGCCTCAATATCTCATTCATTAATGCTGTTAGATTCTTTTTTCTGTTTTTCTGTCTTTCATTGCATTCATCCTAAGCAAACAAAGGAGAGAAGGAAGTAATTTCACAAAGAAACCAAAGGTCGAATGAATGAGTTTACTGGGCTCTGTTTTTATGAGCTTGAATTACACTACACTGTAAAGGCTTACATAAAAATTGATGGTGTAATTTCAAATCTGACCGAAGGACAAACTTTTCTCTTTGGAGTTTTTTTCTTTAGCGGTTGATGACAATACAGACCTGTCTCAACTCTTCAAATTACTTTTTTGTAAGATTCACATATAGTTTTCAAATATTTTGCGTAACTGTTTATTATTTCCTTCTAGAAGCGATGTAAGCACTGAGCAAGTTTCAGGTTTTATTAAAGCAAAAGGGTTTGTAAGAAAGTCTAGATAGACTTTCTTACACAACGCATTCTTGTGCACAGAAGGATATAAACCTGAGGAAAGCTCAGAAAGAAGTTATTCACGAGCAGGAAGAATGAAGCTATAAGGAAATTCTAGGCTTGCCATGATGAGCAAATCTTCAGTTCCTGCTGAAATATGTCATCTATTCTTACCCTTGTTTACATTTGTTTTTGATCTTTAGATAAGCAGTAAGGTACAGTCGTATCCATGGTGTAAACCAAAGTACTTTGCATGTGGCTTAGTTATACCTGAATGCTCAGTTTCATTCAGGAGTCTCAGCCACAAACGTTGTGTGGCTGTTACAGTGCAGGACTACCCTTGGACTCATTGGTAACACTTGATACACTGTAAAATCCTACAGAAATCTTGCAGCCCAGGGTGTATCTCTTGCTCTGCCAAGTTTAATCAACTGTGCCAATTACTGTGTAGCTGTGTTGTATGAGCTGTTGTTGTACCTTAGGACTGCACAGTAAACGTTAGAGGAGAGGCCGCATGGCAACCTACAGCCCCTCATGAGGAGAGCAGAGGGGCAGCGCTGAGCTCTGCTCCATGTGACAGCAACAGGGCCTGAGGGAACAGCATGGAGCTGCGTCAGGGGAGGGCAGCTGGGGGTGAGGGACAGGGTCTGCACCAGAAAGCACTGTGCATGGAACAGCCTGCCCAGGGCACTGAGCTGACTGAGTTCTGGGAGCTTTTGGAAGCACTCAGACATGGGGTTTGGATTTTGAGTGGTGCTGTTTGGGGCTGGGAGTTGGACTCAGTGATCTTTGTTGGGTACCTTCCAACTCAATATATCCTGTGATTCTAGGAAAATGGAACCATTGTAGAGCTAAGGGCCTTGTGTGGTAACTTCTCCTTTAATTTCTAGTTCTACAGTAAGATACCTGAGTAAATAAATAAAATCATGGTGTTTAGCTAAAGCATTACCAGTAACCTTTGATGCTTTCTTTGAATTTTGTCTCCCTTAGATAAAGAAAGAAACAATCGACCTACTCGAGATGAGGATTATAAAGCTGTGCAGAGAGGGATCTGTGAAGCTGGGACTCTTTTAATAGTTTTACCCACAAGGAAGTGACTTACAGGTTCATTTTACTTCTATCCTGTCTGCAAGTGGTCAATGGTGATTAAGAATTTTGATTTTTCAGAGATAATTGATGCAGAAAGAATGTGCTGTGTAACTTTATTCTGAGGTTCCTTTTAATAATAAAAACAGAAGTTTTATTTGTACTTTTTTATTGGTAGTCTTTTATTGTACAGGCAGTGCAAAAGCGAAGTTAAATGTACATTGCTTTAACCCACAAGATTTACTATTACATACCATTTTTAAGAGCAAAAGTGAGTGTGAAAGTCTTTGTACAATTCAATTCTCAGTTACCTCTTTCTCTCACAGGAGTGGTAAGCTAGTTCTTGCCTTAAAATAGCTTTGGAAATGTCTAAATTTCAGCAATTTGGCAAAAAAAGTATTTTTCTCTCATCTGCTCTACAGCTGGCCAAATCCTATTTTTTGTCATTACATGATAAATTATGTTTAAAGTATCTGTCTAGCAAACTGAGAGTTTATTGTGATTAAACTGTTGTAGTCTTCAAAAAATATTCTACTTTTTGTCCATTGGAGTTGAAAAGAGCTTGTCTGTGGGTGATTCTTCTGTAATTGTGAGTAGAAGGGTGCTTTTATTTTTTTATTTATTTATTGCATGGAAAAAGAAGATGAATAGAGGTAGGCAAATCGTCAGCATCTTGGAAGAATCCAAATGAGACATTTTTAGAATTAATTTCCCTATTGTGCTAAACAATACAAAGCATTTTAGAACTTTAAATTGCTTCTTAATCAATAGCAATGAATGCAGGTTAAGAAAGTTTATTTGGATTTACAAAGTAGTGTTGTATACCCAGCACTCTCAGTCCCTCCAGTCCTCCTCAGTGGCATCCAGTGAACTGGAATAGGTCTTTTCTTTTATCCCATGTCTATTAGCTGGGCAACTATAGAAGTGAAGGGAGAAGAAATGATGAATCTGAGATTACACAAATTCTAGTATAGCTGGCAGTATCCACACAAATGAATAAGACTTAACAAATGCTATTGTACTGTGGGGCAGGAATAAATATATAAGCTTTTGCAGGAAGCATGATCTGGACGTACTGACCAGAGTACACAATCATCTGATTGGTACAAGCTGATCGTGGCAATCCATACACAAATGTGGAAAAGGAGGAAGAGAGAGATCTAGTTAATAAGTAATTCCTAGTCATAATGCAGATCTGAACAAGCAATACAGTTTCCCAACAGTAAAGACTGTATCTCAGCTTAAACACCATCCAGCATAAGTATGTTGTTTCTTCCTCTCACAAGAAGGATATGAAGAATAAGAAGAGTTCTGCTTCACAAGAAGCAGAAGCATGTCCTTCCAGGTGTCCAGATAACAGTGCATTCAAACAACAGAAGCTACCAGCATGGAAGCCTCGACTTACCACGGCATCTGTGCTCTCCACTTTCTTTCTCACGGGAGCGTTTTGCCTTTCTGTGGGAGTCTCCCTCATAGTAGCTGCAAACAGCGTCAGAGAAATCCAGGTCTGTTTGGAGTGGGTGTTTGGTATTATGTTAAGAAAGAGATGGTCTGTATTTGGGGGGAGGGGGAGGAAGAGCATTGAATTTGTGTGCCTTGGTAGAGATGATAGCATTGGCTTTATGTCTTGCGCGCATCCAGCAGCCAGTATTCCTGTGAAAGTTCTCAGAGAGACGGTCACTGATGACAGCCAAGCTCTGAGTGGGTAACTGAGAAATAATTACCACTGGGTGGTAATATCTAAATGTCATTATCTCCTCCTCCTGGTATTTGGCTCTAGGAGATAAATATTTGCTTGGGCAAAATATTAAAGTGCAGGGAGCCCTGATGTTTGAATGCTGTTTCTTGGAAGCAGAATTGGTTAAACCTGCTGCTGTTAACCTGCTCCTCATGGAGCCATTTCTCAGGCACTACATCCAGACTATTGATGTGAACCATAATTCATGTGGGCTTTTGTCAAGCGTTACTTGCAAAGCCAGACCAAGCTGCAGAGGTGTTTGTTTGTCAGCACTCCTTTGCCAAGGAGCCAATTTGGAGGTTCTGCAGCAATCAGAAAACTCTAAAGCAGCTTTTAAGTAGGGATAAAATTTGTGAATGTTCCATTGAGATCAAGTCCTGATTCTCTATATCTCTGTTGATTTTAACAGTTTTGTTATAATCCAGGATCACTTAGAACTGCCCTGAGAGGTCTTGTAGCTAAAACACTAATCTTTTCCTGTGTTCACGTCCTCTAATGCAACGTCTCTGCTTGTTCACTTCTCTGACAGGTTGATTATACAGATAAATGCTCAAATTGTTCAAAACTTCGTGAAAATTCCTCTAATTGGAACAGTGAATGCCTCTGTTCTATTAATTTCACACTAGCAGAACATATGCTGGTAAGTGGATATCAGAAACCAGCCAAGTTGCTTAGTACTTCCTGATAGCTATGTCCATGAATGATAAAATATGCTAAATTTCTTCTGTAGAGCACCTGTCTGAATTTTCTTTTTGCTTTTAGGGACATGAAATACTCAGAATTTTACTATTTTGCATTTGCTATTGGTTTGGGGCTTGTGTTTAAAAATAATCCAGATCAGGATCCCTCTGCCCTTGGACGGGAGATCTTCAAGGAGGAATTGGGGATGGAGGGAGTGGTGTTTGTCTATGGAGGTGATTTCTCTCTCTGAGTCAGTAGAGAACTCTAGCCCTTGGCCTGGAGTTCTTACTGTACTGCTAAACTCTTAAATGAGAAAGAAATCTGAAACTTTGACCACTTGTCATAAGTAAACCATTGCAGTCCTTTTGACAGGGATTACACTGTTGATCTCCAGGGTCCTTGAAACAATTCAAGTCTAGCAGTGGCATTCTGCAATTTCATCTGGGAAAAGTATCCTTCATTTCCTGTCCTGAACTGCTGGCTGTGTTGTAAGGCTGCTAAAGTGCCTTATTCTTCAGAGGGGATCTTACACTTAGTACTGCATAGATGAGGCCTTCATATTATAGTGTGATTAAATTATAAAGTTGCTTTATGTTGCTTCAGTATTAAAGAAGTTGCTAACATTCTCTGAGTAATCCTTCAGATATAGTTACATTTGACATCAGAAGTTTATTTAATTGGATTATGGTTTTTGAATAGATTACTAAACCTCTTTGTTGCTTATATTTGCCTGCTTAACATTCTCTGTTTAATTACAGGACTAAACTTTCCAAAGGACTTAGATAATTGAGTAAAGGCAGTCTTATTTTTTTAAAAATCTGCAGGAATTAAGGCTGGTGGCTCTCTTTTGAAGTTGTTTTGGCATCTTTCTTTTGTAGAAAATGGGCATCCGACTCCATTCAATAATTCATACTCACTGCAGTTTTGGGACCAGTTATTACCATCTTGAGTAAAATACTAATGATGCCTTTTCATTTTAGGTTTCATTTTGTGTTTTAAAGTGTGTTTAATTTCATGCCAAATACAAAAGCTTTCAACTAAAAGGGTAAAGAATAGATAACAAATGACATCTGCTGGAGTAATTAGTTAGAATGTAGTTACCAAGGCGTGAGTATGAATTATTCTCTCTTTCACTCTCTTTTTCAGTAGTTAATAGGACTTTTTGTCTACTTGAGCTCACCTTATTGAAGAGTGGTATTCTTGAATTCTAGGGTGATGTCTTTATGTACTATGGCCTGCAAAACTTCTATCAAAATCACCGTCGATACGTGCTATCAAGAAGTGATGAACAATTGTTGGGTCGAAATGTAGATGTAAGTTTTTTTCTTTCTATTATCAGATCAGTATTTTTACCAGGTGTGTCTGACTACGTGGAGATCTAACTAAGCATGACTGTAAGTGTTTTAAGATGACTCTGGGAAATGATAGGAAGGTTCAGATTTTCAGTGTTGAGTCTCTGCTTCTATGATTGTTAAAGGTGAGTATATAAATAGGTATCGGTCCAATGTTGTGGTTTCCAAACCTGATCTTAAAATGATTATGATTAGCATATGATTAAACATACGCTATCTTTTACAAATAAATTTACAGAAAACATTTCCTTCCAGTCTTCCTTCTAGTTGTCTTAGCCAAAAATCTTTTTATCTGTTGTTTTATTATAAGATTAGGGAATTAAGTTGTGCAAAGTCTTTTGTTATGACATCTGGCTTTGGAGGTGGACAAGAAGCTGGAAAGGTTACATGGTGAAATGGGTCGTCATCATGTAGCATTCTGAAATATGCAATTTAGAAATTTGAATAGGAAGCCAGACAGCATCCCTTGCAGCAATGCATGCACAAGGAAATTGGAGACTGCAGTGATTATGTTAACAGAGGTTTTTAAAATTGTAAATAGAAAATGTGGGGTTTTTTTGCTTGGAAGTAGCATTTCTGTGCACTGTCCTGTCAACAGATATGATGATTGTACCATAATCATCTGTTGTTCTTATTAAATATTTCTTATAACTCTCAAGACATGTTCTCCATGCAACAGTTTCTCCAGGTTTCTGGTCAGCTTGTTTGCATTCAGGTGCAACAGCTTTTGTGCCAATCAATTCAAAGCTTATCCAAGCTATTTGAAAATGTTTCTGTGCTATAACTGGAGGACTTGCAGTTTCTCATGAGCTGGGGCAGAGAAGAGGTGATACGTTGAAGATGGGTTTTTGGTTTTCACGCCGTGCATTCATACATAAAGATTTCCCCATGCCAAAGTAATGTCACTAACTCTATCTGCTGTTCTACGTCACTGAAGTACTGCAGGTCAAAATTATAAAGAAAGAAAAATAAGATATTGTAAGGTAAGTCAGGACTGGATTGGAATACATTTAGTTGCAGCTATATTACAGCAGCAGATCCCCAAATGACTTTTTGTGATCTGGAGTTTGCTGGGCAGCAGTAAAAATTTGGAGATGACGTTAAGTTTGCTTACTGTGATATGGAAGCTGTTCCTCCACTACAGACTCGTTCACCTGAATGTTTCTTGAACGTGACCAGAAGGGACTGGAGACCTCATTATTCATTGACTTTTCAGAAGAAGGAGTGCAAGGAAACCGGCAAATGAAAACCTCAGTTTTTTTGTCTGATCGTTCTGCAGGTTCAGAACTCGTACTGTGCGCCCTTCGCTGCTTACCAAAATGGAACACCAATGGCTCCGTGCGGTGCTATTGCCAACAGCTTGTTCAATGGTTAGTACTTTCTGTGTCTGTTTTACTAATCTCAACTTTAGACTGTGATGTTGTCCCAGTCCAGCTGAGTCCTGATATTGCAAGGTAACTGTTGTTCTTCCACAGTAAGTCTTGTTTGACTCTGGTATTGTGGTGAATGTGTGCTCTGCTTCCTTCACTCTTCAATGTGACTCTGTAACAGGCCTGGGGAACTGAGTCTTGATGAAACAAGAAACAATGCTATACACAACAGATACAGCATACTTCCCTGCTAAAACATCAGAACTCAAATTCTACCTTCCTGCAGCAGCATGCTTAGAAAGAAGCAGCGTGCTCTTGACATTGGTTCAGACCTTCGGATCTGTATGCTTGCATTCTGTTCTTTGAATGCTGGAGGCATCCATAGTCTTACATGAATTGGTTTGATCTTGTATACAGTTTCCTGGAGGGCATAATCTGCCTATTAACACATTCAGATTGAAATCTAGAGGGCAGCTCCTGGCCACAAAGACTAGGTTTCAGATTGGATTTCTGTGGGAAAAAGGAAGGCAAAAACACTTCTATGGACTTCTCCTTCCACCCATTCATCCCTTTTTATGTACCCCCTATCTGTTTTTGGCAGTGCAGCTGCTACCTGCAAGTAGCTGAACCACCTACACCACAAGTCCTCCACCAGTCGACTTGTGAAGTGCAGCTGTAGTAAATTCCAGATCCATTTGATTTTCACCTGTGTGCACACCTGGTCCTCTGGAAATCTGAGCTACTAGGCGGGGCTCAGACCTAGGCCAGCGGAGCTGACTCTGTAGCCCATGTGGATCAGAAGTCCTGGCTACTGGGACAGAATTCTGCAGAGAGTTAGGGATAATAAGAATTTAAAATGCTAAGGGTAAATCTTTCAGAGCCTGCCTTTATATCAGTCCTTAGTACGCAGTGTGGAGCCAGTGGCTGGTGGTGTGGGAGAAGCAGGTGATGTCTGAATTGCCACTCTGCTTGCTCAGTTCTATCCCTCTGCTGTAACAGAGGCTTATTTCCTGCCATAAGAACAGTTTTTAACCCAAGCTAGCAGATAAGGGAACAGCTGAGTAAAAGAAGAGGTGAGCAAACTGCAAGCCCTGCTAATAAGCTAATAACAAACAGCTGGAGATGTAGTGAGAAGAGAGAGTTGGAACCAAATGATCTTTAAGGTCGTTTCCAAGTGTAGTCATTCTATGTTTGTTATTTTTTCTGTTCAGTTGGAAGGTGTTTCGTACTGTTTGTTTTGTTAGTCGTGCTGGTCATTGGAACAACTGTCTTTCACTCAGATGTGTTGCCTCTTGTATTCCCTCCAGATACTATTGATCTTTTTTACAATTTTGACTCATCTGTTATTCAAGTACCACTGCTGAGGACCGGAAACAGTTGGTGGACAGATAAACACGTGAAATTTCGCAATCCAGAATCGCACAATCTCTCTGCTGCATTTGCAGGTAAGAATGGTTCTACCAGCATTCCTTACTTTTCAGTGGCTATCACCTTCCCTCTCTCCCTCCCTGTGTGCAGAGTTTTCCCATTCTGAAAAGGGAATTGCCCCTATGAGAAATAGCCAGTAGTAGAAGCAGCATTGGAGGGGTAAATGAGAGCAAAAGCCAGATTTAGCCAAATTGGTCCTTTATTTTTCCACTGACCATCAAAACAGGGAGAAAGTGGTTTTGTAAGAAACAGTTAATCTGTCCAGAGAAGGCAAGGATGCAGTCTCAATATTTTCTACTGAAAACATCTAAGAAGGAAAAGTGCCACGTCATGTTTCCCTTCTTCTTGCCTTTGCAGATCCATAGGTAATTGTGAGCCAAGTGAGACTTAGTGTCTTGAGTAGTTATTTCCAACAATTGTTTGCTAGGGCTATCTCCTTGTTTAGGTTAAGCCATATTACAGGCTGCCCAGGGAGGGTTGTGGATTGTCCTCTGGGAATATTCAAGCCCTGCCTGGACACTTACCTGTGCAGCCTGCTGTAGGGGGGGCTGCTTTGCAGGAGGTTGAACTTGATGATCTCTGGAGGTCTGTTCCAGCCCCTACAATTCTGTGATATTGAAGTAGGACTAAAAGCACCATGTTCTGGATCAGGACATTGCTGTGCTGGATACAATAGGTATGATACATCTCCCTGCGTCAGGGAGAATGAGTTATCTAAGTAATTTTCATATAGCAAATTCTAAATACCGTAGGCTGTTTATTCATGTTTGAGTTGAGATCCATGGAATCTAAGTGTTACCAAACATATAATTTTGTGGTAATGGACAGTCTTGTCTCTCTCCCTTTTCTCACATTCTGTGTTAGTTGTGAGCAGGCAAAGAAGTTAGTAATTGACCCCTGTTTTTCCTGACAGTATGTCTTTCCTGTTTTGTTTTTCTTTCTTTTTCATAGGAACAGCAAGACCTCCTTACTGGCATAAACCAGTGTATTTGTTAGATGAGGAAGATGAAAGTAATAATGGATATATAAATGAAGACTTCATTATCTGGATGCGAGTATCAGCCTTTGCTACATTCAAAAATCTTTATCGTCGTATCAGCCGGAAAGGGCAGTTTACTGATGGCCTCCCAGCAGGGAATTATACTTTCCATATTTCCTACAGTATCCTTTCATATTATCCAAGGGAATCCTTAACTATTAGGTGGTTGCAATGTGGATGGGATTTCTATAGTAGAATGGCAAAGAAAACAAGTGAAACACTCCAAGCTAAATCATCATGAAAAGACCTGACTGTAAGGGTGATGGCTGTTAGGGTGGAGTTTCTCTAGCCTGTGCAGATGAAATTAAGACTTGTTGCTCATGGCAGCACCCAGCTTTGGATTTGATTTCTGCGGGGAGGTAGTGGGTTTTACAGAGAGGATAAACCTGAAAGATGGAAATCTGAAGAGGTGGCTAAAATGTTCAGTATTTGCCTGGTTGGCTGTGCAGTCACCATGACTGGGGCACAGACGTGCCAGGGGTAATCCTGCCAGTGAGAGCTGTGTGGGATGCCTGTACCAGCAGAGCCCTCTGGTGGATTTCAGCCGTGGGCTGATAAGATTTTTGTGCCAGTTTAAAAAAAAAAAGTGCTCACACACCAAACAGTGTGAAATTTGCTGACTAAAGGCCCCATTTCGTTCACAGGAATTACGGTGACTGTAAATTTCTCTTCAATCTGAACAAAAGCAGTTACGATTTTAAACATTGTAGCTCCACTGAAAGGCTCCCTGTGGGTAGAGAGCATATTACATTAAAGGTGAGCACTATCCCTCACAGAGGATATGTAGAGTGTCGTCATGGTAAGTTTCCCAAATGGTTCACTTTCAAGTGAGTTTTGTTTGCTGCTTAAAAATATTATGGGTCATATCCAGTTAGCCCAGTAGCCATTACATACAGTATGAATCTGAAATTCTTAGTAAAAAATCCTAGAATTTCCTGAATTACACTGAGACTGTATCCAAAATAACTTGGAACTGCTTCTGATGTTTTTGTTGTTGTTGTTGTTGGGTGGGTTTTTTTGTTTGTTTTTGTTTGGTTTTTGTTTTCTGATTAAGATAGCAGAGACTTCTCAGGTCACTTAAAGGAATTTTTGCAGCAAGTACAGATCTCCTGTCTCCTCTGTGTCTTGGGAAGGATTTTGAGTACTACGTTTTCTCCTGGAGGTAATGTAAACTTTGTTAGTGAATCCTTAACATCCTTCTGTCAGACTTCCCTGTTACCAAATTCAAGGGGAAGAAATACGTGATTCTTTCAACCATGGTATGGAGTGGAGGGAGTAACCCATTCCTGGGAATTGCCTATTTGGTTTGTGGTGCAGCAGCAACCCTGACAGGTTTTATCATAACTGCCATCCACTTAAAGCTGAGAAAAAAGAAAACGTATTTTCAGAGACGCTGATGTTCTCTGGATTGCTCAGTGAAAGCAAATGTGTGCTGTGAATGAAGAATGGGCAGCATCTTTCATTCTTTCCCCAATGCTCTGGATTTGCTTTATTAACAGGTTTGGTGAATGTAAGCAAATTGAGGGACAGAGCTTATTCATCATCCAAACCCAAACTTAAGTGAGGCTGCATTATTATTAATGCATTTATGCTCCTAAATTTGTTTCTTAGGAAACTTATATTGAGATGAGTTTCAAAAAACAGATAGCACAGTGGTTTGGAATTGCAAGGACAGCAAAACTATGTGGTACTACTGTTTATCCAGAAGTCAGGGTCTATACTCATTTCTTACTTAGCCCTTTGTTGCTACTGTATTTCTATTGACTAAAATGCAGCTTTGGGTCAGTAAAAAGTGAGATCTTGGTCCAACAAAGAGCTTGAGCTGGTAGAACCTAATGCTTAAGCCCCCTTATTGACCACTTGCATGGGCTGATTGGCTTGGCACAGGCGGTACGAAGCTTTTTCCACTATCCTGGAAAAGCAGACCATTCATTTGTGTATTAGTGTAGGATAATCATCCCAGTTCAGTACTTACAATAGAATACAGATCGTGTTTTAAAAACACGGAGTGTGTTTAAACCCTTTGTTGTGTTGGTTTTATATGAGTACCAAGGCTAGCCCACAGAGCTAGATAGAGGATGTGAAAACATCAATTTATATTAAAAAAAAAAAAAAGTGGTTTACTAGCTTAAAGTAAAGACTCCTTCAGTGCTAACCATTTCAGCAGAACCGTGTAGCTAATGCAGCCTGCCTACTGAAGCCTTCTGTGCAAGACGCTGACTCTCAGTGACATGAAATGTCTGTTCCCCACTCAAGTCCCCATTTCTGTGGTGCAGAAGCTCAAAGTCAGTAGTAAACATAAACCATCAGAAAATCTGACAACTTCATTTTCAGGAAATCAATGCTGTAGCTGGTGAATAGACCATTTTTGTTTTCCATGTTCAAAATTTCAGGTACTTTGAAGCAATTTCCAGAATGCAGGAATGACGCAGAAGAATTTAGGTCAAGAATAGCATACCACCTATGAGTTCTTAAAAACAATTTTTCCCTGGCATAAGTGGAAATAGAATAAAACACTCTTAATGAATTTCTTTGATAAGTACTGTGTGCCTTACCCTCTTCTCCACCAAAAAGCCCACGCCACTGAGATAAGGAAAAAAACAAAGACTAGAGCAAGAGTGTGGCATAGGGAAGCTGTGTGATTCTGTCAAGTCTGGTTTGCTGTTAAAGATGCCTCTGTCTGTCTTTAAAAATGTGTGCAGCTCTTAGGACATGGAACTTAGGCAGATAGACTCTGGTGAATCAGAATGCACTGTTTCTTTCAATGTCTGCTTCTTAATTGTGCCATGAGCACCAGAAAACCATGCTGCCCTGGTTCATAGCCTGGCCTGTCATTACAAGCTTGCTCCACCAATGTCTTATGCTGATTTTCTGGGTTAACACACATCTTGTTCTGTTCATCCTGGTCGGGTCCAGTCCCCTTCATCAGAAAGCTGTGAAAACAGAGTTCCAGGATTTCAAACCACTGCATCTAATCCTGCCAGGGGCTTGGGAGAGCCCTATCCCTGACTGGACTGGACAAGACAGGGCACAAAAGCAGTACGTTTAGCAATGCTTAAGCTCATTATTCTAAATCACTTTTAACAATGAGACATGCTCCTGAACCTTCTTAGTTGCTTTTGAAAATTTAATCCCATACAGCCCTCTGGAAGGCTCTGTTGGTGTTGCTGACAAAGCTGAATCAGGACTTATAGCTCCAAACAGACCACAGGACTCTGTTTTTTCTTTTTTTCTTTTTAATGCTTTTTTCCCCCCCTTTTCTCTCTCTGTGTTCTGTTGTTTGTTTGTTTTTTTTCTCCCTTTCCTTGTTTCTGTTTTTTTAATCCTCTGAGAAACGATATATCATCTGGGTGCTTAAGCCACAGCACAATTGCCATTGGTTCTATTTCTTTATGGAGTATCTGGTAAAAATGTGACTAAACTGAGACTGAATAATGAGGTATGCATTCCAGTGATTGAGTGTCTACAATAAAGAAAAAAGTATTTAGAAAATGCAGTCTCGCAAGCAGCATTGGTGATATGTCTGTTATCTCCCAGAGGTTGGTGCAAGAACCTGGCTCTTCTCTTGAAACGTGATATCTGTCAAGTTCTCCTCAAGGAAACCAGTCTTCAAACCAGTCTTCCTCTGTTATTCTAGAGGTTAATGAAAGTTCTTTTTCACCTTACCACTACTTTAAACACGTCTTCCATCTTTAGTGAATCCTCTGAGTGGTGTCCTTGGCAGCTGCTACTTGAATTCAGGAAGTCACTGCTGTTTGGTCTACTATTAAATGGGGAGGTTGGTGGTCCTGAATGTGGCAGGGGAGTTGGAGATTCATGATCCTTGAGGTCCATTCCAACCCATTCTGTGATTCTGTTACTCTGAACAGCTCTACAGAGCATCCTGTCATTTTGGGTAGTACTGCCTGGTCCACAATAATGGGGATGGCAGCTTTGATGAAGTACTTGCAGCAGATATGTTTGGATGGAATCTGCCTTGCTCAAAAAGACAGAAAATAAAGTTTTAGTACCCTCCCTACCCTGCTTTTTGTGCAGTGTAACCAGTAGTAAGTGAACCTTTTTCTGTGGGATGGTAGCATTTGTGAACTTACTGATTCAATGCATAAACATCCTGGTTTAAGGTTGCTGAATGAAGCTAAGAGCTGTACCTGTTATGTACAAATGAACAGCACCGCTGTGAGTGCTCCATTGCTAAGCCACTCAAGACTTACTGCCATGATCTGTAACATTTTGGCATAGCAAAATCATTAAGTTGTTTGAAGCCTTTTTCTGCAGATGCCAGTGCTTCAGAAAACAGCATAATACCCAAGATTTTTGCTTTTAAAGGAAAATAGTCGTGCTTTTCTCACTACTACTTAAAGCAACAGGCAAATATGCCTGTTTCTTTCCTGAAAAAGAAAGTAGTCTATCAGAAACAGGGCCAAATCACAGTATCACAGAATTGTAGGGGCTGGAAGGGACCTCCAGAGATCGAGTCCAACATCCCAGCAGAATAACTCTCCTACAGCAGGCTGCACAGTTTGCTGGACCCAAATTAATGATATCATAAATGTTCAGTATAGTAATGAGTGGTGTTCTGGTGTGTAATTTTTCCCCATGTGTTCCTGGAGCAGAGGAAGAGACTATTTATTGCCAGCTTTTACTTCTGAGGATGTTTAGTAACTGGGGAATAGGCAAAGAATTCCTGGTGGTATACATAATCTAAATTTATATGGTATGCATGGACTAAAACAGGTGAGCTAAATGGGATGTAAGTTCCTGTTTTGTCTTTAATATAAATGTTTTAATTTGTATTGTAGAAGGTAACAATTACACAGGAAAGCATTTTATCTCCTGAAGTTCTGCAGCTCAGTTGTAACTCTGGCAAAAATATTTTGGGGGTGGAAAGATCCCACTATTTTAAAAGCCTCATGTGCAATTTTTAAATCTCATTTTGAAATTGCAGAGGGGCAATAGAGAGAGCTGTGTTTCAATGTCAGAAATTTTCGTGCTGCTTTTGGTTGCTAACTCTCTTTAGGACTGGATTTCATGAGTGGTGTCTATATCCATAGAGGGAGGCGTAAAACAGAAGTAGGAATTACAGGACATTTCAGGAGTACTTCAGATACAGATTCTTCCAGGACTTTTTCAGCTTTACCATTTCACACGCGTACATCCAGGATCTGTTTGCCATGGCTCGTTTTTCTCTCTAAACACAGATATTTGCTTATCTCATCTGGAAATAAAAGGATGGAGTCTTCATGTGAAACAGATGAGCACGATCGCAGACCTATCGAGTCTGGAAAAATTATTTACATGTTGAATCTGTTTTGTATAAACAGCTCTGTTGCATGGAGATTCCTAGTAATAGTAATTGGATGGAGCACCATGTGTTTTAATGATGCATTACAGTGTTAAAAATCATTTCCTTTTCCTGAGGAACCAAACTGATGGCAGGGTAAAGACAGGGAAGGCACTTTAGGAAAGGGAGGGCTTGGAAAATCAGATAATATGCAGAGAGGACTGCATTTCAGTTTGGATTTAAGTTTTGGTCTGACATAGGAGAAAGCAGCTGCTTCACTGATCAGGTGGTGCTGTCTTCCTTGAGAGCAGTATGGTGGGAGAAAGTTAATCTGAGAAAAAAGCTGAGCTGCTTCTGTTTGCTCTGTGTCCTGCTCTCCTAACCCCCTTCTCCCCCCCCAGGCTATGGGAAACCAGGCAAAGAAAGCACTGGGTCTCATTTGGCTTCTGCTTAAATTTCATGAGTGTGTGAGAAAGTTGTCTTCCTTTCCCTATGCAGCTGACTGGAAGAGGAAAAGGACTATGAGGCTAATTATGGTCCAGTGTGGGTGGAGGCAATAATAAATGATATCAAAAGGTAATTTCCTTGCAAGTTCATAGAATCGTAGCATGGCTTGGGTTGGAATGGACCCTGAGCATCATCAAGCTCCAACCTCCTGTCACAGGCAGGGCCACCAACCTCCAAGTTGCATATCAGTTGGGAATCATCAAAAAGCAGAAGCTGTCAAATGCTTTTTACTTTTTCTGGCTCCTATAAGATGTAGTGATCCTGAGAGATGATTGTTTCTGTTACTGCAAGAGAAACTGTTTAATTGTGAAGTCTTTCTTGGGCCCAGGGTTAGACTGCTAGGCTTCCTACTGCAAGGCTGTGTCCTGGAGTCCTGGGAGTGTTGGAATTGGCAGCTGGGTCCCAGGCTGGTGGGCATTTAGCAAGGTGACCAGGGGAGCTGGCTGAGCTTTTAAACTGAACATCTTCAGCACCTGTCTCATATTGGAAACATCTTGCTTGGTTGTTTCTGGGAGTGTCTTTCTCCTTCAGAATTGGTAGCTCACAAGAAACTGCTTGAAATGTTTTGGTCCAGATCAGAAGCATTGCGTAAGAAATCAGAAGCAGCTGTAATGAAAAGACTCGGGTACCCACAGAGCATGTTGTAGGTACTCTGGACAAATGTGCTGTGTGAGACCAGGTGGAAAATGGTCATTTAGCTCCGCTGCCACTCATTACATCTGTGCATTGAAGAGCCTGAAGCAATGCCTTTACATCTGAAGCCATTAACAAATAATTTGTGAAAGAAGGCTCAGCTATCCCAAGTCATTTGCCTTTTTCCCTGTGAGGATTCTTTTGTGTAATGAGAAGCTGTCCCATTAACAGCTCTGTCACAATACTGAGGGATTTGGGTCTGAAGGTTTGGTCAAGCATTCCAGAGCTTTCTCTAATAATTTATGTGAAGCGCTGGGCTTTCCTCAGACTATGTTATTATTGACAGTGAACCTGAAAGCACTGTAAAAAGAACAGAAAGATGAGTGGTTTAAAGAAGGGAAGGAAGTAGCATCCAACCCTGCCCATAGCCCTGGTTGTCACAAGTTAGCCTTTGGGGGTCGTGTACTGAGCTGCTGTTGCTGCTGCTGAGGTACAATGGAGCAGCTGCTATTTGGCAGTGCGGAGAGACATCGCAGCAGCTCAGGACAATAATAATAACATCTGCAGCTCATAACAGCCCTCCCCGGCGGGTGTGCCGAGGCATCCGGCACAGCAGCAGGGGACAGGCAGGATTTAGCGCTCGGCGTTGGCAGTACTTCATCCTTGTGGGTGGCAGGGTGGTGTGAGGAGGTGGCAGTCCTGTGTGGGCTGGCTTCTGCTGGCTGCTACTAGGATGTCTGAGGGGAGGGAGGGCAGTCCGGAAGGCGTTTGAGAGCACTGTGGGGGCATGATGCTGAATGCAGGGTACGCTGCTGGGATGTCTGCACAACTTAGCGTGTGTCAGAGCTCGCTTAGGTGGCCTAAGTGGGATGTAAAGATAAATCACAGAGTGGGAGAGAAGGTGAGGGTGCATAACTTCAGAAGATACCAGCCTGTTAGGCACTGTCATAGCTTTTGGCTTTGTCGGGATTTTGATTGAAATGGAATGTCCCACACGATGTAAGTAAATAGGCTGCATTTTATTTGCCTTGAAGCTTACCTGTTCTGTCAGGAATTCTCATATCCACCAAATTAAGTGATATCAATTGTGTGGTAGAAAGAAATGAAGTATAAATGTGTCAGGTGTAATTTTAAGTGTAATCTAAGTGATTGTGTTTGAGAATGACTTTGATTCAAGAATTATTGATTCAAAAATGTTCCCTTCCCAGAGGGTGGGTGTAATTTTAGTTTCAGGAGCACACCAGAACTGACAGAGTTGCCCCCATAGTGGACCCTGGGCTCTGACTCTTCTGTAAGAGGCGGACCAGTAGCTCTCAAGCAAACAGGACTTCCTGAGCATGTGGTTTTAATGCTGCCTTCACTCTGGCTGGGTTGTTTCTGCTTCAGGTGAGAGAGAGGGTGAGGGAGAGGCGCTCCTTGTGAAGCTCGGGGCAACGTGGGGCTGAGAGCTCTGGGCAGGCGGCTGCATGCAGGTAAGGCTGGGCAGGTGGGGTGTTTGGGGTGCTGAGCTGTGAAAGCAGAACCTCAACTGCTGTGTTCAGAAAGCAGGGCAGAGTGTTGAGCCCTTCTCTTCAATTTGTGTTTCTCAGTGCTGTCAGGTGACAGCTTTATTTTGGACCTTATGTACGAATGGGTGATGGGAAACGTCAGGGAATCTCAAATCATGAGCAGCATGGGGCAGAGTTAGTGGCTGAACAGCCACACTGACTGTGTGCAACTGCAAGGGCTGCTCTGAAAGTAATTTCGTTATGTTGGCCTACGCTGCCAGAGGCGGATGGTGGTTGTATGGCAGTAGAGGCAGAACCTTCCCACCAATATTCACTTACATGTTGTTGCCATGTGACAGATGGCAGCAGAGGGGCAGTCTGACAGAATGGTGTCTGACATGGGGGTGCAGATGAAGCAAAGCTGTGTCACTGAATTCCTTCATGTGGAAAAATGGCACCCATTGACATTTATTGATGCTTGCTTAACGTTTCTAGAGACCACACAGTGGATGTGAGCACAGTGATGGTGTGTGGTGGGAGTATGTTTCAGCACTGGTGACTGAGTGGCAGTGGGGTCATATAACCCATGTTCATAGATTAACGATGGTTAATAGACAAATAAGTATTGGAAGGCTGTTGGCACGACTTACGCAGAGAATATTCTTGGGACTATTTAATGCTAACTCACACACTCATACACATACCTTACAAAAAGTCAAATTTGGAAATAAGTGTAAATGCTTAAATTATGAATATAGCTGTAGTCAGAGTGGTCTTTGAAGTGGGCTTAGTGGGAACTGATTTTTGCAGGCAGTTGTACTCATACTGGGTATCACGTGGCTGCTGCTTTCAATATGGTGCGAGTTTCAAATCTGATACAGATGCAAAAGTCATTAAAACTTTGGAATAGTGAATAATGGTTTCAGTCCCTCGATGCTGACAAATTTAGTATCTGCCACTGTTTTGTGTGGGATCACTGCCAGGGAAGGTGTAGTTTTATGAAAGAAGTTTGGTTTGATCATCAGTGATTTTATCCCTGCAGGATTCGAGGCCAGGCTGGATGTGGCTGTGGGCAGCCTGGGCTGGTGGTTGGTGATCCTGCACACAGCAGGGGGGTTGAAACCAGATGATCATTGTGGTCCTTTTCAACCCAAGCCATTCTATGATTCTATGATTTTCCTCGTTTTATGCAGTAAGGCAATTCTTTGTGTAGGTGTTTTCATCTTCCTCTACTGGGTTGAAGAAAATACTATAAAAAATGCATAAAAGCGTAAGTTGTTTTGTTGGGTTTTTTTTCCCCATGAAAATGTTATTGAAACGTTGCTGGTTACAATCCACTATTAGAACTGAAATTTTGTTTAGATGTTATTTTGTTCCCCCTTTACATTCAAGTTTTGGATTTTGGTCCCATTTAATTTTGTTTCCTGCTGTCAAAATAACACCGTGTTGTGGTTTGCTCTGATTACTAAAGGGGGGGTGTTGGGTTGGAACAGAAATGAAAATTCTCAGTGTTGATGAAGATCTCAAGCATTTGGTGTGAACCAAGTGTCCCTCATGTGGATGATTCTCTTGTGGACGGTCCCACGCTTGTAAATACTTCCTGGAATGTAAGGTGATAAGGTAGGCTGCTGGCTGCCTAGGTGTGTAATGGATTGATTTTTAGGCTTAATAGGAGAAAGAGTGAAAGAGAGAAAGAATTCCTGTAGGATTTGTCAGTATTTGGAAGGCCGTTGCCTCAGAGGAAGAATCTCTGAAATACTTCTGTTACTGTGACTAGAGAAAGACATTCTGTTAGTCTGGAACGTGACTGCAGGTTTCCACTTTCTTCTTCAATTGCAGAATGACTGGTTGGACTCTGTGACTTTAACCAAGAAAAGATTAAAAAAAAAAAAAAAAAGCTTAGAATTCACATAATTTATTTTGTGTTGAGTTTGTATTTAGGTAGATTGCAATTCCAGTTCTTTGGCCATAGAGTTGTTTGCACGGTTATTCCAGGTACGTTCAGCACACAGCTGTATGGCTGAAAGCTGTTCCAGGCTTCTGCCAGTTAAATGTGAATGGAGGCTGGACTCCCTCTCCCACTTTCACATGCAGTGCTGTCCTTGCATGTGGGGCCAAACAGCGCTTCTTCCCTTTCACCACTGGCGCTTACAACTCGGCATGCGGAAAACTGACACCAGTTTTGAGGTTTTCAGATCAGCAGCAACCTCGGGCCCCAACACGAGCTCAGGTAAGTGCCAGAGCTGGCTGCTACGGGCTGTGGTGAGGAGTTTTCCTCTGAGCACTGTTGTGGTGCCAGTGCCATGTTGCTGTGGGGGCAGGGCACAGCCCCAGAGGGAGTACAAACTAGCAGTGATACGGACATGAAAGTAAAGGTTGTTAAACACAAACTGAGCATAATAGGTATGTACAATTTATTTAAAATACTTTTTAACATACATTAAAAAAACCTCACTATTTATACAGTCTAATTTCTAGCAACATATACAGATACTGAGCAACTACGCTACATGCTGAGGTAAGAACATAATCAAGCCAAAGAAGGCTGAAATACTTTTTATATCCATAGAGCTTCACATGTAAAAATGAGACCCATTAATTGTACCTCTGCTTGCGTTGTACATGGGAGAACATCACTCTTAGGTCTGTCACACAGTTTACATTTGGGAGTTGATGTTTAACAGTTTGCAGCATACACTTTAAACCCAACTATGAGAAATTCCAACTTACAATGTAAATGTTGAAAGCGGTGAGCAAAGCATGAGGCCGTTTTCTTTCATAAACAGGATCTAACTCCATTCTTAACTCATGCTGCTCAGATAATGAAACTGCATCATGGCTGCTTGAACAAAACCCACTCTCTGCACTGCCTCAGCCTACAGTTGCACCCGTTGTTGCACTATACCTGGCCTACAATAAAAATAAAATGCGGATTTCCAACACTGTTTATTAATTTTACTGGATTACTTAAATCGGTGTGATCCACGCAGATCTTTTTGTTTCAAAGACTAAACGTTCAAAAGTTTCTTCAAGTGAATTGGAATACGTATGTCACCGCTCCGTGCAACCAACCAACCTTTCAGCCCTTTCAAATAAAATGCCGTAATGTCAAAGTTATAACTGCTGTGAGGCAAGAGCACTTGAGAGCAAGAGCCTATTTAAGGAGAGCACAGATGGCTGTGACTTAGCTTTATCAAACAGATGAATTGCAGTTACATCAAAAATACAACTTATGTGCAGGAAATGCATGTATTTCCACAACTAGGCCTTGCATACTGCCCTTCGTTGCCTACTCAGGTTTAACCTTAGGCTCCCAATTCTAAAAAACATTCCCATTCTCACACTCAGAACAATATAGAATTGAGTTTTAAGGCAGCAGAGTGTAGGTGACAATGTTCTAGGCAGTGGATAGACCACGAGAAGTGCTGGTTCACAGAGTTATATAAAGCCTCTCTGCAAAAAGACTCACATGCTCAGTCAGGGCACTGCTCTGTACAAGTGTGCAGTAGCTGTTCTCTTGTACATGACTTTGGCTTCGATGGGGATGGGAGCCACCTCGTGTCAGGCCCACGGGCAACACCAAAGCTGACAAATTATGTTACAGAAGCAAACAGTAACCATTACAGTCCATAAAACTGGGCTAATGTGTAGCTAGGGATTTTCACATTTATAAATTAATTCAGCATCCTCCCACCAGTGCTGTTACAATAAAAATAAAGCTTTTTAAGAATGCTTTTCTACTACTTAAGATAAAAAAGCTGTGCTTTGTTTCTAACAAGGTTAAAGAAAAAAGAAGTGGCAAATACAACATCCAAATGGTTCTCATTTTGTGATTACTGAGATAAAACTAGTCTACCCAATCTTCAGTAGAAGACTGACTGCCATGTTTCATTGCAGAGAAAACTGGAACATTCAAAAGATATAAATTCAATTAAATGCTTCTAAAATGACACTCTTTGGGACAGCAATTGTTCTCAGTAAAAAGCATTAAAGAGTCCAAGATCTTTAATAAAAACAATCATAAGAAAAGCTCTAGGACCAAAGATTTCCAATTGTGCTAAAAGTACCATACGTGCTAAATGCATGTATTTACACAAACTATGCACCCTTAGAATATTTGTGTGCTTCTTCAAGCACTCACAAAAGTATGTACATATCTTTCTTTGAATATGCTCACCTCGTAATCTACAACACTAGATACTGCTGTGGGAGAGGGAACATCTCAGTCACTTTGAATGCCTGCATGCTTCTTGCAGAAGTTTAACTGAAGGCAAACACCAGTCAGAGCAGCCTTTACTCAGCAGGGAATAAGTGAAAGCAGTTGCAAAGTAATTTGCTTGTAAGACTTCAGACTGTACCTTCTGTATCCCTACCAGGACACAAAGGCTGAGTGGCTTAAGACATGAGGCAGAAAAGAAAATGGGTTGTACAGAAAGCAAATTCTAATTTGAGAAGGCTAACAGAAATGATAAGAAACTTCTAAGGAACACATAGCGCATGATTCCCAGTCCTGTGAACAAAAGCCAAAATTAACAGAATTTACAATCATGACTATTTTTACGTCACAAAGTTAATGGAAGTTCAAGGCTGTACACACATTTTATAGGGTAAAATGAATTTTAGATGCTGTAGTGCCTATGTATCGTAGAACAGCAGAATTGTTTCAGTGGAAGGGACCCTCATCACTCATCTGGTCCATCTCCCTGCAGTGAACAGGAGAACCTACAGCTCGATCAGGTTGCTCAGAGCCCCTCTAACCTGACCTTAAATGTCACCAGAGATGGGGCATCCACCATCCACTCTCTGGGCAACTCATGCCAGTGCCTACAGCTTTTTGGAAGTCTGAAGTTTTGATTGTGGATTATTATTTTTCCCCAGAAATAGTACCATTAGCAAAAAAATTACCGTCTTTCATACTTTCAACAGTTGTTTCTCCAAATTTCATTCACATCTATGACTTTCTGAAGCTAATCTTGAAGCGATCTTCTGTCATGCCTGACAGATAACTGTACAGTAGTGAAAAAAAAAAACAACAGAGCTCCCGATTATAAATGCAGCTTAAGAAAAGGCAGAATGACTGGTTTCCCAGATTTCCAATAATACATCTTTTGGCTCAACACTGTATTACTTAAGATTAACAGTTATCAAAACAGTGTGATTAAAAAATGAATCCGTCAGCTTTACGAAACCGGCTTTTAAAAACAAGCCGTGTTTGCCATCATCCTACCTTATGTACCTTATACATGAGCTAACTTGGTTCATCTTTACTGCTGATGGAATGGGCCGTGCTCTGCGGTACCTGGTACACCAACTCGTCAGCAGTGCCTGGGCCCAGCTGTCCCTTTGGTGTGTCATACAGTGCCTGTGCTGAGGACACGCTGTCCGTCCTGGACAAGAGCTTATTGTAAGTTCCCACCAGTGAAGGAGCTGGATTCCCTGCTGCTTTGAAGGTGGAAATAGAAGGAACGCCCAGAGGTGTGCTGGGATGACTGGACATGTCCATGACTATTGGAGTTGCGTACTCTGGTCCAGTTATAGGCAGTGGTTCAGCGTAGGCATGATAAACTTCTTGTATAGGTGAATTGTAAGGGTCCAAATCAGCATAACTTGCTTCTTTTCCTTCCTCTGGTTTGAAGGTTGATCTCTGATGAAGCGAGCCGACAATGCCGCCGACCAGAGGCTGAGCATACTCTGTATTACAAACCCCAACAAAACAAAGTAAAAATGCACTTACTGGATATTTTCCTTATAGCAGCAACACATTCAACACATCCTGTCAGCAACACCCCAAGGAGTATTATCCTGGATCAAAGTACTGGTTGATTTTTGTCTGTTGTATCGAGGTGCTTTGTGGGGAAAAAAAGAAGTAATCTTCGCCCAACAGATAGAGCATAAGCTCTATGTGTCTATGTGACAGCACCTGATAGCTCAGGTGTATCATTCTTCCCTTGTGAGCTACTATTGCTCAAGCTGAATATCTGCTCTAAACTAAGTGTTTTCAAACGTGCTTCCCTGAAAGCTTAAAAGTGAGTGGAATTATCCTGTCTGGTACTGGATAAGAAGTGGTCTTCGGCATGGAGGGTTTGTCGTCTGAGAGGGGAGCCAGCACACAGCCAGCTGCAGCTGAGATACTGCAGTTTGACAGACAATCTGAGAAACAGAAGCTCACCCAAAATCAGCCCACCACCCAAAAAGAGAACATCATTACTTCTGCATGCTGTAAAGCTGTAATTCCTGTACATCTGCAAACTTCTGCCATCAGCACCGTCAGCACAGAATCAAAGGCAGTCAGCCATCTTCCTCTAATGGCCAGTTTACCATAAAGGGCACATGCTGTTATCAGTAACTGATTTTCCAGACCAAGCATATGGCTTAATCAGACTGTCAGTGTAGGGAACCAAATGCCACGTATCAGATTTATGCATAATGTGAGAAGTTGTTTTCAATGCTTGTAAACACAGCTAAAGAAACTGCACTCATTATGGCATTTAAAACGAGCAGCTTTCAGTTACTGCTGTAACCTGGGGAAGTGTCTACCCCCAGCACATCACCAGTCAATCAATACATACTTTCATGGCATTCACTCAAAGAACAGATCTGAAAAAGTCTGCGTTTTAATATGTGTTTATCAGCACATTCATTTCTATTCATTTCCCTTCACCTCCCCCAAGTAAACACGAAATAATTAAATGCATTTCTGCCATTTTTTGGCATTTTGTGTATTTATCACATAGCCTGTGAAAAAAACAACAAAAAAGTACCTGCAGATTCTGTTTGCAGCACTGTTGGAACTTCTCTTGGTCTGAGGCGGCCAATTTCACTGCTGCTGTAGCGTACAGGAGTTTCTTCATGTTCTGCTGATTTGGTAGGGAGAAACTGCTTCATTCCTTTCCACCACCCTTCACACAGTTAAAAAAAAATAAAAATGATAAGCACAGATACTAATTAATTGTTAAGCTATTAAAGTGCCATACGCCATGAGTTAACTGTCTGCCCCCACTGCAGTCATTAGGTTCTGCTGCAGTGCTGGGGGAGAGCAACGACTTCCCCCCTTGTGTCCCTTAATCACTGTGCTACTCCTACCCAGCACACCTGTAAGCTTGCAGAATGCAACACAGAAAATGCTACAGAGTCTTACTTTGTAACGAGGCCGATTTATAAATCAAGTATTTACACAACATTGTAACCCAGGAGTATGTGAATTAATGGGCTGTTAATGTTTCTCACTCATTTTGTTTAAAAGAAGCTAATCGGTGAATTTCTGCAAAAACTGCGTATTTTTTAACTTTGGAAAGGCTGATAAGGAGTGACTGTGGTCATGAAAGCTCTCGGGAGAGAAGGCTGCCTTTGCTGCAGTCATTCCATCCCTCTCACTGAGTAACCAAAGCCATCCTGGTTCCGCTGTCCATGAATGCATTTTATTTTAGATGTAAGAAATCATCTTGTAGGCAAAGAAGTCCAAGAACGAGCAGACTTAAAACCACAGAACAGTGTTAAAAGTATGAGGAAGCCTGTGGGAAGAGCACAAACAGAGGTCCCACAGAAAACTGCAGCAACATTTTTGTAATATTGCCTTCTGCCCAATTTCAGTACTCCTTTTAAAACAGACTCATGCACGGAACATTTAAACTTAAATCAGCTTAAAAAAAAAAAATAAAATACAGTGTATTCATCATAATATTTGAATACAGGAGACTTTGACACTTAACATTCTAAAGCAACTATGCTGTGACCTGTCAGAAAATGGACACGTAATAAAGAAAAATAAATTCATTAACAGGTTTCTTTTCTAATGAACAAGGCCATACATGAGACTGCCAGAGAACAAAGACAGGGATGTGGCTATTCTGTAGCGTAAGGTCAGAAAAATGAAGCATAGTTAGTCATGCAGACAGTGAAAGCTAAGCCAGCTCTTTAAGCTGCAGCACCAGAGTTTGTGTGACTCCTTCAAAGAGCTGCTCTGTGGAATTGTCTGACCTGAAGTTAATGAGGCACAAGAATGGAAAGGCAGAAAACATACCAGGGTATACAAGGGGATTCTTGGGATACGAGTAATCCCACATTGTTACAAGGACAATGGAGAAGAAGAAACTTGACAAGCTCCATATACCAAGATGAAATGTTTTTTTTCCAGCACAAAAGAAGTACCAGAAATAAAAGACTATTATATTTACCAAAAGTTTCCTCATGAATGATTTTTCCCCTCTTCATGCAATTAAGAGGCTCTAAACTTGTTTTACTTAAAAAAGAAGACTGACACTGTAAGCTGGAACTGGAGATATTTTCCATGTCTTATAAAAATGCAGAGAACAAAAAAGCTAAGTCTTATCAGCAAGCAAGTTCTGTGCTCTCTGTCCCTCCATCTCCACCAGTCAGCACTGTAGAAGCTTCTGCTGGTGGAAAACATCACTACAGTTTGAAAACATTACACTAAGAACACCAAGTAAAGGACTTCATAAGATCATGTTGTTACCTGCACGATCCCAGTAAGGTAGATCATAGGTGCCCTCAGTTTTTTTCTTGCTGTGAGAAAAGGACAGAGTATTTTAGCCAGTCTTCCTACCAGAAGCGCATCCGTGCTCAGCAACCTCGGCTGTAACTGCTTCTCAAGCTTACAGCCCAAGCCCCAGCAACCCGGCCTGCTGCTACCAGTCTGCTGCTACTGGAGAAATCAGTTTTCAGAAAAAGCACTTGAAAGGAAACTATTTACACAAAGCACTTCCGTTGTGCTTGCTCTCCAAATGAACATTTTCTCAGAAAGAGTGAAAAAAAGCCCTTCCAGAAATGTGGATCGTGTAGTTCCCATAGCAACACATGCAGAGTGCTTCATTCCCACACACCAGACCAACATTCTACTCAAGTACTTTCATTAATCCATTCATTTACCGGTTTCTCCAATGCCACGCACAAACTAAGATAAGAATCAGAGTAGTGAAGACCATCACCAGCACTGGAACCAGAACTGCTGCCAACGCCACATCTGAAAGCCATTAAATTAAGTGGTGTCAGACAGAAGTGCTTCTCATAAATCAGTTCTTATTTTGAAAATTACTTGGGTAAAACATGTAGTTTTCAGGTACAGCATCTATCACACTGGGTCCCCCTGCTAAGCTACCCTGCTGGATGCTCACACAGTTTAAACAGCAATTATTGTCTTCTCTCTTTTACATGTACACAGCATTTCTGAAAGCTTTTCCAACAGAATAAATAGCTTTGTTTTGCTACAAATACATGGTTCTCACAGGAAAATGGTATTTTATCATTAACATGGAATACCAAGAGCCCAGGGTTATGCAATCACTGAAGTCTGAACCTCTTACAAGAAGTAAATAGCACAATATCCTAACAATCACTACTTGTCTATCTGGGTTTACGTGTGACATGAGAGCATGTTCTGTCCTCTGCTTCGCAAAGGACACTTCACCAATGCCTACATTTGCCATGCTCTTGTTCTCTTTCTGACAACTTTAATAAACAACATGATGGCACCGGGTGTATTTCAAATTTCATGCCAATGGGACTGATTAACAGAAGACTATCTATATCTAAGTGTCTTGTCCTAAGCAATTATCAGATTAAAATGACAAAGTTACTTCTAACTCTGAAGGGAAGTCCAAGTTACAACTTCTCCTTTTGAGAAAAGCTCTTTAAGTAATTAAAAGTTAAACTCATTTTCAACATAATATTTACATCCCTTAGAATACTAGTTTTGTTTCCACATGCTGTATGCAACTGAGCGTTTTTAGCATCTGAATCTTTAATACACAGGCAAGTATTAAAAAGATTGATGTTTTATTACAGTATATAAAAACTGACAAGCAAAATTAAACTCAGAAAGCATATTTAATATATTGCAAAGTACTGTAAGCAGTTCCCACATTTCTAGTGCTCAATCATGGATACCTTTGGTTACGCTTGGAGTCACTGTGGTGTTTTTTATTTCAGGCGTGAAAGTCGTTTTATCTGTCTGCAACGAAGTCTTCACCGAGTGGACGAAGTCCTCACTGATGTCATCAACCTTGTTGGTGTTGTCCTGAGGTGGTGGGGGAGGCAGCATGGAGATTTTGGGAGCACGGACTTTAAGAGAAAGGTATTTAGAAATGAGGTTGGTTTTTTTGTTTGTTTGTTTGTTTAAGTGCTAGCTTTACATGTTTCCCTGTCAAGAAAAGAGCTGGAACAGTTTGTTATGAAACTTCTGTTCATTTTGTATAATGAACAAAAAAAAAGCTATGAATCAGTAACATGAGAGCAAGCGACTCGTGTCTCTTGAAACACTTTTTCAATTGCTCTGTTTACACACAGAATGGGAAAGTTTTCAGTTGCCTTACCTATACTGAACTGACATCCTAGCAGTTCTACTTTCATTGCAATTTTCTGGTGCCATTTTAAGGGGTTAATCCTAACAAATCGTGCAATAATAGGTGGGATAAAATTATTGCGAACTTCCTGGTACAATTCAGTGTTCCCTTGAAATACCTAGGAAAGAAAAAAGAAGAAGAAAAAAGACAAATACTATGTTACACAAATATAATACTGAGTAATTAAAACCAATTTTGATATTTCACACAGCAAAAGTAAGCCGTAGGGAATGCTAGCAGTATTTCACACCCAGAACAGTGCTGCTGCCTGACCATCCCCACTCACCCTGCCTCCTGCTGAAGAAATGAATGGTGTGTGTGTGCAGACCAATGGGAATACTGGCTTTGTTTCTGCATGCAGTGTGTGACTGATGCTTGGTACCCTCTGCCTTCCTCCAAACAGAGGAGGAAGGTAAACAGAGAAGAAACAGTGTACTGATGTGACCCAGGCAACCCCTGTTGCTACACAAATGCTGAGTTTGTATGGCAATAAAAATAATTTTAACTCAGTTCTTTCTCAGTGTTTTGCACTTGCTCTTCAAATACAGCAAGCAGTTGTGATAATGTGGAAGTAAGTATTATCAGAGTCTTCACACTGCATAATAGCTAAAGAATGGTCTGTCCTGTGAATGGATATGGCATCTATTAGGAAGAATTGAAGTCTAATGTAATCACACTGTCCTCTAGTGGTTGCTGTCTACAATGACTTGCAAAAAAAAAAAAAAAAAAGCAAAACACATTAAGAACTCCAAATCTCTGGGTCAAAAACTCTTCAATAATAGAAGCGAGCAGAAATTGCCTAAAGAATGAGCTAAAGCTCATCCTTCACTGCTGGGTCTCACACACAAAGAGCTCATCAAATTTGCAACACATCACAAAAGAGGGGACCATAACAGAGCAATGTCTATTTTCAAAGCATTGACACTGATGCTTCAAGATGCAATTCAAAAGTCAGTCATGGCACTTACTGGCACAAACCTGAAAAATAAACGCCATGGAGATGTAGGATTTTTCTGCTCACTCACACTACTAGGTAAAAACAATCCAAATTGTACAGAAGCAGGAAGGTGCTTTGGTGTTTTGTACACCATATACAAAAAGACAGTGCAGGATAAATGCCTGCAACATCCAGCAGGTCTGAAAGAAAAGCATTATTCCAGGACAGGAGACTGGCCTTTCAAAAGCCAAAACCAAGAAAATCTTGCATCAGCCTTTAAGCAGCATCTTAGCTCCCTGACCTCCATAACATGCCTGTCCCTGCTCTTAGGAGACACACAACCCCCATTAATATTGCTACTTAAAGTTGAGTTTTGGTTTGTCCTTACCTAGTCAGTGACTGTCTTTATGTTTGAAAGCACCAGCTGATCAAACAAATGCGTCAATTTAGTTAAGAACAGAAAAAGGTTTGCCTGGTGTTGTGCCAGTTCCCCCTGCTAAGGAAGGCCCGTGCTCAGTTTGGTACCCCAGCAACAAAGGCACAGGAGATGAGAGAAATCAACACCTCTGTGTCTATGATTCTCTCAACACTGACAGTTTTCAACTCTGGTTTCAGAGGTTGAGCATGTAAGAATGAAGGCAACAAGAATCCTTAGTGTCAGCTATAATCATAGAATGGTTTGGAAGGGACCTTTAAGATCATGTAGGTCCAGCTCCCTGCTATAGGCAGGAACACCTCCCTCTAGAGCAGGCTGCTCAGAGCCCCATCCAGCCTCACCTTGAATGCTTCCAAGGACTGGGGCATTCACAGTCTCTCTGGGCAACTTGTTCCGATGTCTCACCACCCTCACAAGCATTTCTTTTTTATATATTTTTTTAATATAATGATGCTAGAAGGACTTTTCTTAAGCACTAATGCACCTCTAAAAGCTCTTTTCATAGAGGATCACAAGAAGTCTTGGAGTCTTGGAAAACTTTCTAATCTCCTGAACAGAATTTTCAGACATTGAAAAAAAAAAAAATCAAAACAGGGAACTGCAACTCCTAAGCTAAGTAAAAATCAGAGGGAGAAAACTGCATGCACATACAACAGAAGTAAATCTGTATCAAATGAGATTATGCCAGACAAAGGGAAAACTTGTTATATTCTGAAGCCTCAATATCAGTCCCTTTTTTGTGCTAAGTATTTTCTTTCACAGCTGGCACTTTGAGTACGTTTGACCATTTGCACACTGTACCTAAAGATATAAAAAAGTGCAGAAAGGATCTGTTAACCTGTAGCTTCAAGCTTCACATTTTGTTTGCTTCAAGAACTTGCAAGGAAAGGAAGAGGCTCAGTCAGCAAGAGCCAAACCTGTAGCCTCCATCTACACAGCTAGCTGAGATTGTATTTTACAGCCAGAGAAGGGCACTCAAAAAACAGCAAAAGATGCTGGATTTTTAAATTTTAGTTATTTATTGAGGTCTTCTTACTAGAAATTTGATAGTTGTGTAGGCTCAAGGAGGTGGACCAGTCTCTACAATCAAATCACATCAGTTCAAGAAAGTTTCCCACTATGACTGTGTTCAGTGTTTGGAAACCTTTTAATTTAACAAAAAAAGATACTTCCACCTTTCACTTCAGCATCAGGAGGACTGGAAATAAGACAGATAGAACCATTCAGTTTAGCACTTGAAATCCTTTCCAGTTCTCCAGATTGTGAAGCTCAGAGAAAGCAGCTATTTGGGAATCTCTTAAAAACAGCCCAGGTCACCGGGAGATGCTGCCATCTGCCGGAAGCGAGTGCTTATTGCTGGCAATAGAAGTTTCTTGTCCAGAATATTATCACTTCCAAATCATCATTAAAATCATCTCCGCGTTTCAGTCTTCTATCCTTTTCCGATTCCTTTCTGCAGAGACACTGTTTATGATTCAATATCACATCGAAAAGTTAAATGAAAAAAAAACAACCAAAACCAACTGGTCAAGCTGGTCATGCTTCTGCACAATCTCCACAGAGTATTCCCAGAAAGTATATGGTATTTTTACCTTATCTTTATCAATGCCAGGTTCTCTGTATACTGTCCACTTTTGTGCATCATCACTATATAAAATTCTGTAGGATGAGACATAATAGTAGTACTCTGCTAAGGTTGATCCAGTAGTTATAATACCTGTAAAAATGAAGGTGTCCAGTTATACAAAAAACTGCTACCAATTTGTAAAAAAATATATCAGCTTCTTAATCCAGAGTTTCATAATTAGAATTTCCACTGCTCCAGTTACACTTACAAAAAGTTTATCCAAGGTGTCAGGGTCTGAAACTCCTACAGTGACTAAAATCTCATTTTACTTACTTTTTTATGTCTTAATCTACATTTCTCCCTCTTGATAGAAATGGCCTATCCATGTGCCAAGGTATCATTTTTCTTCCTTGCTTTTGTATTGCCAAGCTAAAAGTACCACTGAAAGAACTGCAGCTTCCTAAAGCAGTCACTGCAGTGCTGTGGGGAGACTCCCCAGAAAAGCTGTTTTGCAGAAGGTTATTAGCACAAGAATGGGAGGACCAATGTAAAACCCAAACAGTCTCCAGGGAGGTAGGACCGAGGTAAATCTGAGATGTTTAATGACAGGAAACCCAGGTGCTGATACATAGCAGGGCATGCAGCTGCATTCACAGAGCCCAGCTCAGGCACTTGAGAGCAAGACAAACCCAAACTGATCAAAGGGGATGTCTGGGGAGAATCTTAAAGCCCAGGATTCTAAAAGGCACTTTATTTTTACTATTAGGCACTTTATTTGACTTAAGTCAAACTGCAAACACGCTCTCCAACAAGGATTACCTGTGAACATGCAACCCTGAATTGCAGTTCAAGCACCACTGCATGAAGGGGAGGCTGCCAGCTGCTTACTGCAGAGCATGGCAACTACTCCCACCTCTGCTGCTGGATTTGCTATGGCTGTAGAGGGCAGCAGGGGAAACCTGGAAACCTAATACACCCATATCGGAGGTACCAGCGGACTGAGCTGCCTGGATATGGACTTGGACCCTCAATAAAACAGCAGGAACAGGCAAGTATCAAGGATCCGATATAAACACAGGAAACACTTGAACAAATTCTGATCAAGGAGGTTTTTTCTACCATGAAACTCCACCTGCTCATATTTAGGCTCTTTGGTGCATTTGTTAGAACACAGAACCAAACTTGTTGTAATGCTAATTAAATAACATCCAGATTTTATCTGAGACTAAACACTGGAAGAAAAATTTTAGTGACCAAACTTTCTGAAGGCTGCTTAAAAGCCAAATCCATGTAACTTACCTGTAATTCTCTTTTCTTTATTCAAGTCTATCTGCAGCCACTGACGTTCATCACTGTCCAAAGCAGCCCAAGGAGGCCCATGCCTTTTCAGTCTGGCATTTTCAGGTTTCCAAGTGTTCACTCGTCCTGTTTGGTCAGGCCACTCAAGAATAGATGAAGCTGTAATCTGGGAATCAGAGATTACCCCAGATTCCATTCCCAGTGTCCCATAGCAACCTGAGCAAAGGAAAAGGTGAGGACTTAGAATTCCAAGCCACACAGTGATCTTACTTGCCATGCAAATATTACACTGCCATCTAAATTTATTCCATAACAATGCTACTAAAAAAAAACCCACAATGTCTTCTGCATTCTTCCAGTCACGCTGGAACCAAACTTCTCATCTTCAGTATTGAAAGATTTACACTTGTGCAAGAATAATGTGGATATTCTCTCAATCACCTTCCACACAGAGCACTAGAGAAGCTCTGGGGGAACTGTCGTGGTTTAAGAGTTTATCATGTGGTTGGTGCAGTAATGGGAAAGAGATTACTTGGCCACTCACTCCTTTTGGAGCCTATTTAACTTTTGGTTTTCAAACCTACCTCAGTATCATAACGTTAATTCAAATAAAACTCCAAAGAATGTAGGAAGCAACGCGACAATCCTGCCCTTGAGTTCAAACGCATCCTTGAAGTTAACTGTATGTTTTGTTACCACTCCTACTAGAGGTTCCTTCCTCTACATCCTACATTCTTATGGCTTAAAAAAATAGTATTAAAAAAAAAAAATCTTTGTGGCTGATAGCCATTTGCTCATTTGTTGCCTCTGCTGGATGTACATCACCTGCTGCAGCACAAGATCACTTGAGCACTTACTCAAACTCGAATTTTTTCCTCCATCTGTCACTGCAACCTAAGAAGCTGTCAATGTGAAGCAGAAATACAGCAGAGTCTGTGTACTGACACTGTATGTGCTCTGTGGTTCTTCACTTAGCTTCTGTTACTCAAATCACCACGGCAGCCAGGTCTTCATGTACAATGGTTCCATTTTCCTCTGCACTGACCACATCTCTAGTATTAACACACACCACAATTTTGTACCAAGTCATGACATCAACTACTGTGAAAGAACCACACTGGTAATACTACCATAATCAGATAATTGTCATTACAGCACACTACAAAACCCTCTTTTTTCCTTCAGCCAATTCCAAGTCCATTCAGACACATATATTTTAATCTACATCTCTTGCTTGTTCAATAAGTTGTTAAATGCTTCTCCAAAATTCCACATTTTTGTCCAGATCAGCACTTCTCACACTGAAAAATTAGTAATCAAAAAAGGATCTTAACCTGCACAACCTGCTGTGTGGTAAAGCCAGGTGGCATTTTGTCCCATCTCTTCACATTCCCAGCCCACTGAGTAACTTTTATACAACCTGTCAGATCACATTTTGAAAGACAAAAAAAAAAACCAAGAAATGCTCCCCCGATCACTGTGTTTCATATCCTCCAACCATAAGGTCAGTAGACAGGCGTTCCTTCTTCTAGCTTTTCTAAAGGTCTAAGAGAGAGATATTGGATGTGAATTACATTTTCCAATCTCTGCTTCATTATATAAGTTTCCACCTTCAAACACTTGTGCCCATCAGATTCCTGCATTTATCTCCCCATTTGGATCACTTTTATTAATATATTAGGAAAAGCGTTTGTTTACTTCTGGGAATGTATGCACGACTCCCCTTCTTTTTTCTTGATTAAACAAGGTCCCAGTGTTTTTGTTGCATTCTTTGTATTGTTGCTAAAACAGCTAAGAGACTAAGACCAGCCCACTGTCTTCATGGTATTTCCACCACTCATTCAAAGATGGCACATTAAGTGACTTCCATTTAGAAAACTGCAGCTATTCTGTTTGAAAAGGAGGCAATTGGCAGAAAGTAAAAACATACGAAGCAATAAGCTTTAAAATGGGGCAACATCTGTTATACCAATCATCAACATGGAACATGTTTACAGGAACAAATGAATGGCAGCCAAGGTGGAACACAGCACACACACAGAGCAAAGCACAAGAAATGCCTTTCTAGAGCTCAGGAGAAAAGTAATTTATCACACAGCATTCAGTTGCAAGAAATCAGGGGAAAGAAAAAAAATTAAAAAGTGAGGGAGAAAACTCAGTCATCATTTTGAAATTTATGCTAAGTTTCTCAGGAAGCAACAAGAAAGCTGTAAGGACTAAATATGGAACAAAGCTCTGTAGTGCACAGTTGTTATAAATAAAGAGTAACTCACAAGTGCCAAACTCTGCTTTAAGCAGTGCATTTAAGGTGGGGGAGTCAAGTCACTTTAAAGCAGATTAGACCGGAGGAAAAAAAAAACAAACATGAAATAATCTCTTCTTACAGATGAGCAGAGCTTACTAAGGAAAGGTTTTGAATAGGAGAAAATATTAAAAGATAAGTATAGACTGTCAGGACAATCACCCTGTGGGACTGAGAAAGCAGGTTTTAGAAAGTCTGCACTACTGAGGAAGCCAGTCAAAATATTACACTAACCAGAACAAAAACTAAGAAATGCATTGGGAAGAATTGATATGAAAGGAGCAATTTATAAGAAAGGATTATGTAATAAAATTGACAGTGCTTACCGCTAGTCTTAAAGGTGAAGAGACTTGTAGATAATGGTCCCCTGCAGAGAACAAAAAGATGGGGTTTGTGCTACTGAGGAAAACTGACACAAACTGCCTTCCATTTATTTTTCTCATCTGACTGCTTGCCTCTCAAATCTATGTACACGTTCCTGAGTACAGAAAATTCATAATGAAGTTGTGGTATAAAACTCTTTTCACCTGAAAGCTTGCCCAAGGATTCTACTGGTGTAACAGGCTTTCAAAGAGCCATCTACGCAGCAAGATGCAGGAGCTTCATTAAAATACTTCCCTTTTGAATGAACTTTACCACAGTAAGAAGAACCAGCCTCCTCTGATCACTTAATTCTTGGGATTTCTGAGATAAAATGACAAGTTACAGCATAATATATTTCCATATGCAGCTTCAATGGAAATGCCAATCATTAAATGGCATTCATTTGGGAATTTCCAAAAATGCTGCATACAAACTCTCAAAAATCTCCATCTACAACACACTGATATTTCCAGAACAACCAAGACTGCGAAGATTGTGTTCTTTACTATTCAAGTTTCATCTCACCATTTCCCAGAGTGAGTCTGCCCACACACGCCAGGGGGCCATTCCTCACACTGACTGAGCTCCCTGACCCAACCTCTGGCCTCTCAGGACAACAGTAGTTGCCCTCACTTCACAAAGACAACCAAGGGAAGTGACCTTTGTCTATAGGTTTCAAACATTGACAGCATTACCAAAACAAAGCAGTTATTATTTACTGGATTTTTTTTTTTTCCTAAAGTTTTGTAAAAAAAAAAAAAAGACAGGTTTACTCTGCTAAACACATTATTCCATTATTCCTCAAGTTCAGGCTGGATTCAAATGACAGCTCTGGAGAGGGGGAAAAAAAAATATCAAATGTTTCCCTGTCTTTCAATTCCCCACCCCCCAGATAAATACTCTCCCACACTGTTCATACACAGAGCCAAAAATTAAAACAGAACACTGTACACTAGCTTGTGAAATTTTAAGTTTTATGTGAAAAATATTGCTTGCCTCAGATACCAATTTTCCCCTCTTTTACCTGAAAGAAAATTACAGGATTTAAATTGGTGATTAGAAAAAATAAACTACACAAATTATTATTTTTGCACAGATCACTGGGAATTTATGGTCATGATGTGTATTTTGGAAGACAAAAGTTCTTTTAGAGTTGGTAAAATTAATCTTTATGGTTTAGAGGTTTAAAAATAATCTGGTAAAACAATCACACCACAGAACTGTGAGAACTTCACAGACAGCTCCATTTGCTGAAATTACTCCTGGTAAGAGGCACTACCAAAATTTAAGTTGCTAAAGATGAGGAGGATGTAAAAGGTACACTTACATTTTTGAGGTGACATTGTTAGCCAGGGAGCCCTCATAGTATGGAATGCCTTTGCTGATTACAACGTTAATTTGGCCACCCAGAGTATTTGATACGACGCCTGCATGAACACCAGCCATGCAAAGTGATGACGACTTATGGGGAAGAAAAAAACAACATTACTACCACGCTGTAAATAAATTAAATATTACACTACTTACTGTAAGCGCTGCATTGCCAAGTCATGTTCTTTGTTGCTATCATTACATTAAGAAACTTCTTACTTAGCTTTATCTCTGTTTTTTAGAAATCCTTAATCTCTGTTTTGAGAGGCTTATACAGAGCTATCCACAGGCATCTGCCTCCTGAAACATTTTAGCTTTCGGAGACACACATCACTCTGCAGCCCCTTGCTCTCATTCAGGGATGGATGTGGGATCAACCTGAATTTTAGAATATCAAGGGGAACCAAGCTATCTTTGAAGGTTCACCAGATACATCTCCATATACATTCCAGAAACCACATTCAGCATTTTATTATCGGTGTGGTATTGCAGCACAGCTTTGCCTAAGCCAATAAACAACAGACAACAACTGTGGATTTTTATTTAATAGCTGCTCTCCAAATCAATGCTGCTGGTTGCTATTACTAAACAAAGTTGTTGGATTTTCCTGCCAATCATTCCTCCGGGTGCTAGTAAGCCTCACAACAATTATCCTAAAACAAATCAGCAGATTTTGTCTAGAAAAAGGGAAACTTCACAGAACCACAGTATATTCTGAGTTGGAAGGAACCACAAGGATCAGCGAGTCCAACTCCTGGCTCCACACAGCACCATCCAAAATCCAAACCCTATGTCTGAAATCGGTGTCCAAGCGTCCCTTGAACTCTGACAGCCGGGGGCAGTGCCCACCACCCCGGGCAGCCTGTTCCAGGGTCCCACTGCCCTCTGGTGAAGAGCCTTTCCCCAACCCCCACCTTGACCCTTACCAGAGAGCAGAGCTCAGAGCTGCCCCTCCTCTCCCTGTGAGGAGCTGCAGCTGCCATGAGGCCTCCCCTCAGCTCCTCTGCTGAGGCTGAACGCACCACAGGACCTCAGTCCAGCCCCTCACACACCTTGCCCTCCTAACCACCCTTCCTTGTCTTTGCAGCCCACCTTTGGACACGCTCTAATATCTTTACATCCTTCCCATTCTGTGGCAGCCACAGCTGCCCCCAGTGCAGGAGCTGAGGCTGCACAGCACAGAGCGGAGCAGGACAACCCTCCTCACGCTGCTGGTGGCAGCGCTGGGCCCGGTGCACCCCAGGATACAGTTGGCCCTTTGGGCTGCCAGGGCACACTGCTGGACCACATGCTGTCAGCCAGAACCCCCAAGATCCCCGTCATCAGGGTTGCTCTCCAGCCTCTCTATCCCAAACTTCATGGATAATTTTTCTTCTTATTTTAAAAACAGAACAACATTCTCCACTATGGCCTCTCGAGAAATAACTGCATTATGCTACAGGTCAAAATGCCCCTGTATCTCAAAGCTCACTGGCACAAAACCTTCCTGCAAAGATTCTGATTCCTTACCCCACAAATACCCTCAAAAGCTTCTAGATAAATGTAAACATGACGGGCTTAAACACCCAGTTTCCCACTCCCTCTTATCTCCTCTTGCAAGTAGAAGTATGGGGATTCTGTAAACTAAACTGTCTCCTCCCCACTCACCAGAAGATGTCAGCAATGAGTGCTCCAAGTCCTCCAAGGGATTACACAAAAGAACCAAGATTTAGGGTACTCTTCAAAGCAGTACACAGCTAAGATCTTTAGGAAGGGATGCAAGCGAAATGTCTACCAGCAACTTTGTCTTACGTGTTTTACAATTTGATTTCTTTCCATCCAATTTGACTTCTGGGAAACTCTCTGCCCTTTATACAGGCCATTAAGTCATACAAAAAGAGAGTCCAGGGGATTTATTTGCTGAAGCTTTCTTTTTCCTCCATAGAAAAATTTTTCCTGATTTTGGCCAACAGAAACAACTCCAACAAGCAAGGCTCCTACAGATGCTGCAAATATGAGATACAGACAATAAACTCCTTCTTATAAATAGGCATAAAAATTATCCTGCAGCTATTTAGCAAGGACTCAATGCAGAACATAACACTTAACAGCTACACTGTGGTGACTTCGTTTTTTAAACATCTGAATAGTTATTTAAGCAGGTAGACTAGGATTTACAGGTATTTGAAAAAAGTAAATGACAGAGCAGCACATTTTAGGTTCATATTAAATATTAAAGACCAGTGTACATTCTTTTGTAACATTCCAAGTAAACTACATTATTACATTTCAATTTCCAGTTAATAGAACTATTAATGCTACAGTATAAACTGTTTTGTAACTGTTTTCATAGCTGTCCAGAGTAAACAGCGTAAATCATTGAAAGTCTGTTTAAAATATCATAGTATCAAAAGCAAGATGACTTCATTTAAAAAAAAAAAACCAACAAAAAAAACACTTTGGTTCTCTCTACAAAGCTGAAATTCACAACTTGAAAAAGCCAACAGAAACAAAGCAGGAAGTATCAGAGTGTTTTGGTTGATACATTTTTTTCTCAGAAGGCCTTGCAAGTCTCTAGTATACTGCATCACTTCTTGGAGATGGCAACATGGATTCATTGAATGGTGTGGGTTGGAAGGACCATCTAGTCCAACTCTGCTGTCAGCAGAGGAGACATCTTATAAAGTCGCCCAAATGCCCGTCTAGCCTGGCTTTGAACACTTCTAAGGATGGGGCATCCTCAGCTTCTTTGGGTGACCTGTTCTAATGCTTAATCCCCCTGGTGGCAGAAAAATTCTTTCTAAAATTAGACTACATCCAGCCTCTTTCAATTTGAAGCCATTACTCCTTGTCTATCACTACAAGCCTGCACTAAAAGCCTTGTCACTGCAAGCCCTTCAAGTATTATCAAAAGGCCGCAAGAAGGTTTCCCTGCAGCTGCCTCCTTTCCAGGCTGAACAAGCCCAGCTTCCTCAGCCTCTCTTCATAAGAGAGATGTTCCAGCCCTCTGATTTTCATGGGCCCTCTCGGACTCACTGAAACACCAGTCGCTGAGCAGCTGTGCAAAAAAACACGAGTAGCATGCCATTTAATTTAGGAGGTGCAACTTCCAGAGTCCAGACAGCAGAGCTAATACAAACAACTATAAATGAGTTTTAATCAAACTTTAAGTATTTTACCACAATTAATGTGTGCCTACAGTAGTAAGCTTACTTACATCTCTGTATCCATGGGGAATAGTGCCTGAAATATCAGCAAAAGGAATCACACATCCAGCTGGGCAATACTTACTGAAAGAAAAAATAATAATAAAAATTCAAGTCAAGGCACGCACGCAGCTACAACTCTTTCAAAACATTATAAAATAGACACTGTATTTATAATATTTATAATATACTGTTATCACTTCTACCACTACGTAAGGATATATCCTAATCAAAGACATAAGAAACCAGACAAAAACATAAAACTGTCTCAGCTGTAACTGAGTTCTGGTCTGAATATAATAAAATTGATATAAATATTTCATGGTTTCCATAAATTGAAAGCCTCGTAGGTAGCAGTATACATTATATTTTATAAACTAGAGACTGCATATCTATTTGTTTTGCACGTTTAAATTTATACCTAAAAAATAATGGTACTTAGCAATAGCTCCTGGCAATGCTTTGACCATTCAAAAAGAAAGAACAGGTCAAATATTCAGCTCGCATCACTAGCTCCTGGAAAGAAGGGAAAGACATCTGCACATCTCATGCAAGCCTATGTTTTAGCCAAGATTTAACAACCAACTTGGGTAAAATATCAACTCAACAAAAGTTGAAGCAATTTTGCAGGTGCCATGAAAACAATGGGATTTGGAGACCTAAGCACATATTGAATAAAACTACAGCCTATGATTTTGGAACTTGGGAAAATGAATGAGGAATGCAGGTTTCACAACTTCAGTGCTTAAGATCTCCAAAAGGAAAGCTTACATACCTCATGATAATCTACAGCTTTTAACACTGATGTTGCTTTAGACAGAAATGGGGGACAAAACAGAGAAATGATGCATTTCCTCCATCAGAAAGAAAAGCATTTTATATCTCTATAGAACCTCGTTAACTCACATCAGGCTGTGAAATGGGTTTGTAATTTTTCACCTATTCCAGAGTTTAGTGCTCCTTTGATAACTTCAATGTGAATTTCAGTATTTAAAACGTATATGTGCTGTAATGTATATTTATAAAAGTGGTATTTTTTTTCTATGGGAATGTAATATTGGCTTATGTGTGTTAGCACAAATTAATGAGGTTCTTCCTGTGTATGGTATGCAAGATAAAAAAAGAAACAGGAGAGAGGGGATCAAGAACAAATGCAAATGTGAACATTATTCAGCTCTCTCCCCAGTCTTTTCATTGCTCAAGTCCTCAAACCCCAGTTTTCAAGCTGTATCAGGTGTAAGTTATAGAGTGAAACAGAAACACCAAAATGACCAAGAAGGGGAGTGGGAGAAGAAGAGGTAAGAGCAATCTTACTTGAATTCTGGTTCAGAAAAATGACTTGCATTGTCCAAACAGGTAATTAGGTCTGGAAAGAAAAAATGCTGGGTCAAGAGGGTGATAAAGACATCTGGTTTGAGCATGCTTTTTAAAGTGTACATAATTTTCTTCCAGTCAGTCTTATGCAGGACCTCGTAATTTGTCTTGAGTAACTGGGAAGTACATTGAGACTTACAGAGACATGAAGAGAAGCACTACAAACATATGGCTTTTTTTGTTTTTTGGGTTTTTTTTTCTGCATCTTAATTTGTAGCTATGCTTCAGAGAATCTACATAGGAGACATAAACATGCACTCTTTTCACAAAAGCAAATTGAAACAGAGAAAATTACATTAGTAAGCCAGATAACCAGGTCTGTGTTTTCAGCATGTAACAGTCCAACAATACTGAAAGCAGGCAGCACAGGAAATCTTACAGTGACACGTAACTGGGATCCACGACTTCTTTCAAATTTTATGTTTCTGTGCAGTGTGTGAGCACAAACAATCCAAAACAGAGAAAAGCATCAGAATATCCACAACATTTCTAAAATGAAACTTCTTCATCTGCTCTTTTTAGAACTACACCTAGGAAGTATCTTCCTGAGCTCTGTGCCTTGAAAAGCAGTTCCTGGTTAATTCTTGTCTCCTTTCGGACAATGTATGTCACTCACCTCCACAGTGAGTGGAAGTAGATGCAAAACACAGCAGCCTCTTTTTGAGGCTAGAGAAAAAAAGAATAAAAAACACAAGGAAAAACAAAACAAAGCAAAACAAACCAGCAAGAAAAACAAAGCAAGGAAAAAAAAAAACACACTGAAAACTAGTTAGCAGTCACAGAGAGAATTGAGGAAGTGAAGGAAATTATGAGTGAAATAAATTTTGCCATGAGGTGGGCGTGCATAGAATATATACAGTTAGATAAGAAAACATTTCAAAGTTATCAGTCATCTTGATTATGGCTGGAAAAAATGCATTTAATCCTTTATCCAGAGTAGCTTTTTCATTCATAACAGATAACTGTGATTCTTGCTTTACTGAGTGTAAGGTTTGATAACCCTTTTTTTCTTCTCCTTTTTTTTCCTCCTTTTTAAACTACAGTAACTTAAATAATAACAGTTTAATTTCCTATGCAGAGATATCAGGAAGACTGCATCATAAGTCATTATTTTTAGAAGTCAGTTTGTAAGAATGTGGGTAATAAAACCGGTCTGCGGTTTCACTAGACCACTCTAACTTTACCAGCACAGAACAATTATGAGGATTTTACAAATACCTGATTTGTCAGTGGTTGAGTAAGCTGCAAGAAATCCACGCCCTGAAGTGTGTACCCCACTCATGAACTGCACTGTGACTTCATTGCTTCTTGAAGTTATTAAACCATCCATTTGAAAGCCAAATCCACAGTACTTTCCTAGGGAAAGAAGGGGAAAAGAGTCATGGACCCAAACCAACTTCAGTAACAAGTATCTTTTTTCATTTCCACTATACGCTCACGATGCATCTGGTGTATATTCAAAACCAAACACAGGCAGTTGATAGGAATGAATGTGGTCAGTGTCTGTTTAAAGCAAATACCAAAGTATATTTACTTTGACACTGCCAATAGATGAGAGACACTGGTATCCCTAACACTTAGAGATAAATGTAACACATCCCATTCACCTCCAGCCATATGTATCCAGCCCATTCTTCCAAGATGAGAAAGATGGGGCAACAAGAATCACGTACAGAAGGAGATGAGGAAAAAAGCCCTTCTCTTTCCTCAGCTGTTGGAGTGTTTCTTCCCTGCTGATTATCTCATGCTTTCTGTCAGTTGCTTTTCTTACTTTTGTGACAACAGCAGGCATGATTCACTGCAATTCAGCATCAACATACAAGCATATCTGAGTTCTACTAATATAAACCTGCAATTGGCCCATTTCTTCTTTTGCTGCTCCTGTAACACCTAAGGCAGGTACTGCAGCTATCTCGGCAGGACAAAAACAAAACAAAACAAAACAACAAACAAACACAAAAACAACCAAAACCTCAAACCAGATTAGGCTTGTTCTGCATCTGGGTATTTTTCCTGCCATCCAAACTGACTATAATTAGCACATTTTAAACTGAGAAGCTGGAGTCATCAGATATTGATAATATCTGCCTATTAAGTTAAGAATTACTACCAAATGACTTGAAATTACCTGGATGAATGGCTATGAGAGTCAAATCAACATGGAATTCTCCAATTCTACTATGTGAAACTTCACTAAACTGCTAACAGTTCATTAGACAGTTACGAAAATGTTCTGCTCCATAGGCTCTCTTAAACAATCAATATTATAAGCCAAACACAACCCTATTTAAGACTGTGTGTGGACAACCACCAATAGCAGATGGCTCTGCATGTTTCAATTTACCATTCATTCATTCGTTTTCATTATATTTAGGTTGTCATCTTGTAAAATAGCAAAAAACAAAAAAACAAAAACAAAACACCAAAGCCAGGCTTCCTTTTCAAGATGGAGCAGAATAACACTGCCTTGCAGAAACAGTTCTGAACTAAGGTAATGTGCCAAATTCCTTTAAGAAGTGAACTGCACTCTCAAGCACAATTTAAATTAGAAATACAAATTCCTATCATTCATCAGAGGCATCTAGATTTTGTTTATTCTATTTTTTCCATACAAAGCATGGGTATTTTGGGACAAAACCAGAAAATAGATTTTGTGATACTTTAATGAAATATATAAAATTATACAGATATAACCTTATTCCAATTCTTACTATTTAAGCTGGTCAGTGGCAAAAGTTATGAAAAAATAAGTTTCCTTTTACCACGGCTCCACACAGACCCTGCACTTTGCCCTCAATCTAGTTTCAATTACTAACTGAATTCATGATGATGAATTGCAGCATTTTCCCCAACTACTACTTTTCTCATTTTTTTCTCCTATTTTTTTAAAATTCATTTTCAGCCTCTGGCTCTTTTTACACCACTGACCAGCATGAAACTCCTCTCAGAGTAGGTCAGGCTGTCCACAAGACACCATTTAACCTCTTCTTTGGGCAAGTACACACAGCAGGACACATAAATATAGCTTGGGTAAACTAGCTGGTGCTGCTCGTACCATGGAGATACAGCCTGTGACAAACTGTAGGACAGATGCACCATATGATTCATTGCAAGACACACTTTTGAGTCCCTAAATCATTTTCCTAGCTCTTCTTTGGTTTCCTTCCAGATTTTTAGCAAAGTATTTTTAAAAAGTGCCAGAAATGGACAAAACACGACTACAGTGATGACTGTCAATTCTATGCACAGAAAACTACCTGTCTGCGTGCCTGAAGGAACCAAAGCACTTTTGAACAAGACTACAGCAAGAGGTGAGTCTCCACAGTAGCTTACATTCTCTGCTCCAATAGATCTGACCTTACATCAAATACATTAAATAAATATACTTGTCTGTAAACGTCTATTGGCTGGATTGCAATGAAATCTAATACAAAACACCTCCAGATCTTACTTGAAAGAGAGATAAATTTAACACCGAGGATTCAACGCTTCTTTTGATTTACTGATAAGTATTCAAAAGGCTTGGACTGAGAACTAATCCTTAAGAGCTTCATAAGATGCCTTCTCTGCTTATCAATGAACTAACCCAGTAACAATTCAATTTGAAATCTGATCAGCCAACTTTTAAAGCAATTTGGAGTTAAAGTAGGTGAATTCACTGAATTCCAGGTTTTATGTTTCAGCATTAGAACACAGCAGCAATGCTGAATTTAAAAAAAAAAAAAAAAAAAAAAGGACAAATTCAGAAGATAATTTCATCCAAACAAATTCAGATCACTGTTTAATCTCACTGTTTGCTGCTCCAGATACAAACATTTAAGAAATAGCACCATCTGCATCTGCTACTGTTAAGATCATCGTTTGTTCCGTGATTTCATTTATTAGGAGCAGAACACCACACACATTTGCTCGACATACTTTGCTACTACACCAGCTGGAAACAGCCGAAAGTCAAGAGAAACAAATGAAGTAGAAAATTTACTCCAACCCATTAAGTCACTTGTACAAGTGAGTAATAGACTTATCAGAACTGGACGTTCCTTGCCATTTAAGGACTTCAGTTCTTTCTATTTCAGACCAAGCCTGGCTCCGCAGCTCCAAGCACATATTTATTTTCGCACATGCTTAACTAGGTAACAGTTGGAAAAGAGGGTTAACAAAGCTAACATCCCCCTAGCTGTCTTATAAAAAGACTCGACATGAGTTGCACTAAAGCAATCCTGGTGAAGTAAATCTCTAGACAAAGAAGGGAAAAGTAAATGAATCTGCACAATAACAATGACAATGTTAGTAAAGGAAAAATGATAATTCCAGTTTTATGAAGAATCAAGGACCTTAAAATCCTACAAATACCTTTGATGTGGATAATAATTTCACACTGCTATCTGAAAAGTAACTGCTTTACAGTCATGAAATCATAAAAAGTACAAAGTGAACTACAGATTCCTTACCATCAGAAAATGGAAGACATTTAAATCATAAGTTATTGAAGCTTGACATCTTTTAATAACACCAAGATGAAGAGCTCAAAAAAGAACTACTTCAGTACAAGAAAGCAGGCATTTCAGGTAATGTATGTATGTATGTATATACTTCACTTTGCCTTTTTTTTTTTTTTTTTTTCTTTTTAAAAACAATGCTCAGAATTTTGCAACTCCTTCACTGCTTGCAATGATCTCGCAGTCTCTTGCCACTCTGCAAGCTACTGGGAAATGTCTGAGAAAAAGGAAAATTATAATGGAGTTTCCTTCAAGAGTCTGAAGATCACAAACTATTACAGGATCTGTGTTGCATTTAGCATCTATCAGTATGCATGGACAAAATATAAGATGCTTTGCTATTGTAGAAATTCATCATGTTTTCAGGGCATTTTTAGCATCTAGGAATGGAGTCAGAACAGACATATACATACACTTTATAATACAGTAAACAAAATTGAGACCATGTCAGAATAATTAAGAATACTCTGGCCTTCCAGAAACCTCATCGGCTGAGCAGCAGTGGTGAAACGAGCTCATCACCAGAGATGCTGCTAAAGTTGGTGAGGTACAGGCAGCACTCCATTATGTTTTGCAGAGTTTCCTTGGCATGAAACTCAGTAAAAATACAACTTTGACTACAGAATTCCTAAAATTCCTTCCTTTGCCTTCTTAAAGATTCTTGTACATAACAAACACTTCCTTCTTTTCACCACTTCTCCTAGGTGTCAAAATCTGCACTGTACAAAGTGTTGCATGCATGTATCAGGCAAGGTCTCATCACGTCCAATAAGCAATTGAAGTACAACAGCTTTCAAGAGCAGTAAAAATAACTGAAATACCATAAAACTTGTGATTATTATATGCACAGTGGAGGCTGGGAAGGTGAAACTAAGAGTTACAAAAGTACTAAAACTATCTTCCAAGCCCTATACATGACAATAGCTGAAAATAACTTACCTATCTCTGTCCTGGTGGGGCCAATCCCATTGTGAACTCTCAAGTAACTGGAATGACAAGAATCTGAGTCATCAATATCTAAATCACCAAATTTGAGCTGAATTCGCTGCCCAGGCTTTACACGAATTTCCCATTCACAGACTGTGCTATTGGGAGAGGTCTGTGGGTAGTTTATTGAAGCAAGAGTTCCACTTTCAGGACCCAGAATGGTGTGTCCACATCCATCACCTACAAAAGAATATAAATAGTTAGCTACATCACATTTACCTTTACTGGGTTCACTGGTGATTCAATTACTACTGTCTTCACCTGCAGAAAACACTTTGTTGGTGGTGGTGATTGTTGTTTTTTTTTTTTAACCTCACCAATCACACTGCAAAACCACTCAAAGTCACACACAGATGGTGCAGCAAGCGTGTCAAAATACAACAGAATTTATGTTAGCTACCACTTAATTTCTCATCATTAGTGATCAGAGAGGTTCTACAACTTCCTCAACTAGATAGAAGTTTATCCTTAATGATGTAAAAAATGGCTCTGACAGTACAGAACATATCCCTGCTATTTCATTCCCTCAACACCTATATACAGAAGAAAACTGGTTCTAAAAATGGAGGGAGAAACACATCAGTAAAACATGAGCACATTAATTCTATGTTATTACATTCATAACGCAATGAGAAAGAACAGAAGGGGAAAGACAAGGGACAGCAAACACTACTGAAAATAACAGCTAAGTCTGAACATCATCCAATATTTAATGCATTGTTTTCTACTGTAAAACAAGTTTAATGCTGTTAAACTAATTCTTGAAGGAATTCAGTGACACCCTTTGCTTCACACACATTTCCAAGTCAAATACCATTTTATCAGAGTGCCCCCCTGCTGCCATCTGCCACACAGCAACAACGTGTAAAGGAATACCATTAAGAAGGATCCACCTCTACTGATATACCACAACCACTGGCATCTGACAACATGGGCCAACAGAACTGTCACAGCAGCTATCAATATACTTTGTGCTGCTTAGTAGTTAAAAGTGACAGGCAAAAACTGATTCTTTTTACACATTTCCTCTGCTATGAGGAAAGGTTGAGGGAACTGGGATTGTTTAGCTTGGAGAAGAGAAGGCTCTGTGGAGACCTCTCTGCAGCCTTGCAGTACTTGAAGGGAGCTTATAAACAGGAGGGGGAATGGCTGTGTACAAGGGGGGTAGTGATAGGACAAGGGGGAATGGTTTTAAACTGAGATAGGGTAGGTTTAGGTTAGATATCAGGAGGAAGTTTTCCACACAGAGGTGGTGACGCACTGAACAGGTTGCCCAAGGAGGCTGTGGATGCCCCATCCCTGGAGGCATTCAAGGCCAGGCTGGATGTGGCTCTGGGCAGCCTGGTCTGCTGGTTGGCGACCCTGCACATAGCAGGCGGGGTGAAACCAGATGGTCATTGTGGTCCTTTTCTATCCAGGCCATTCAGCGATTCTATGATTTCCACTTCTTCACTAAACATAAAAACATAAGCCACATTTTAGGGACAAAAAATGTGCAGATACTGAAGATTCTCAACTAAATTTAAGAATCCTTTGCATGAAAGGATTTCATGCCAGACTGAACAGAACGGCAGGACCCATGCACTGAAGCAGCATGGGGGAAAAAACAATTCAGTTGAACTTAACTCTGATTAATCTGCTCACAAAAGCACCTAATTCTCAGTGACAAAATGTTGTGGGTTTGCTTTCTTTTTTCATAATCCGAGCACTTAGAGAGATAGCTGTACGTTCCAAAATCTGAAGTGCTGTGGTTACATGCAGAATTACAAACAGATGGAAGCTTTCTTGCCAACAGTCTTGAATTGGAATGATGCATCTTCTTTTTGAAAAGGTAAATGGACTATCTGCTCCAGTAAAATCTAAAGTTCTATCTGTAGAGCTGTTACTCAGCCACATTTTTCTCAAGTCTAACTTTAGCATGGTGTTATAAAACACTTTGTTCTGCCTCACGACAAACACTATTCCCATTTGGGTAGCTGATAAATTACATTCTACTTCATTTACACCTCCCTTTAGGAAAGCAAACAAACAACACATCTGTATTTTACTTTCCTAAACTGCTATTATTTTAACGCACAATTGTTCTAGAGGTAGCTGAAATACTACATGTTGTGTATCATTTAATCCTGGTTTCTTTCTAAAGGCATATTGTAGACTGAAAATATTATTGAGCTATCCTAATGAAGTCACCTTTCAAACAAGAAATCACAGTAGCAATCTGAGTGCAACTAAAACATTGCAAGTTTTAAACAGCATTGAGACTTATCTTTTAAAGACACATCTGTAAGAAATGTCAACTGGGTCTTTTAGACCTCATTCTGGTACGTATTTCACTTTGGTTAGTGAGAGCAGAAGTGCCACACACTTCATGCCTGAAGAAGCTAAAGATTATCAATGCACGTCTGGCATGCAATACACAGCACACCAAGGGCAGATTCATCATTCAGGAGCTATTTGAAAATCTCTACAAATTAATTCCCAGTGAAATAGTGAAACAATGAAACCTCTCCTTATTTTATTAGTTCTATAAGGGAAATTCTTGAGCTCCTCTATACAAGCGGTGCTTGATCGCTTCTACTGAAGTTGTATAAACACCCCCAATCATCCCTGGAGACACACTTACATCTTTTGTCACGTAACGAACCGGCAACACTCAGCAATTTCTCCAAGAGAAAGCACAACTGTCTGCAATACAGCCACATGCATGGTAGTATTAGATTGTTTTTCATGTAAAAGGCATTAAGTACCACAGAATCTTTTGCTTTTGTTAATTTGCGTGCATGAGTGTGGAACATTTGGGCACATATAAGAGACAGATGTCAAGCCCTAAATCAATTACTCTTGCAAGAGATGACAAATTCTGTCACTAGTTCGCAATACACAGCTGAATGAGTCCTTTCTTTCAGCCCTGTCCATCACAAAACAGACACAGTGTAGTCGCACAACTAAGCAAGCTCCTCACCACATCACTTGTGCATACACATCCCACCTGACACTTGCTGGAAGGTCAGCAGCACATGTGCATCGATTCTGTGCGCCCCAAGGAGCAGGTTCACAGCAAATACAAATAACCTCAGCTCTTTGCTGAGTGGTGTCAGAAACACGGGCGCCTCTTCTCGAGCTGGTAGAGGAAAGCAGACTGATGTCGTCAGCAGAACCATTTGTCTCTTCCAGAGGTGCCTCCAAATGCAGTCTGAATGAATTATCCTGATGGATTACAGATGACCCCTAGGCTATGGCATGCTGATGTCTGATGCAGTCATGCAGCTGATTTAACATAATTTCTCATATCCAAGTTCTTTATATCAACAAAATAGAGAATTTCTACCAACATAAGCATACCAGAGTGCATTTGATAAGAAGAAAACGTAAGATTTAATAAAAATGAGAGGCTATCATACATGCAGAAGCGGGTGCTAAGTACTCTATTAATCTCCACTAGAGAGATTAAATTACTTCAACAACTATGAAAATAATTATTCAGAACTTTTTTCCCTTGAGATCGGCTGCTGCTAACAACTACTAATCTTGTTTCTCACTATCAAAACATGTTAAAAATGAATCTTATGGCCTTGATAATGCTTTCCCACTCCTTACTTGGGGAAGAGGGAAGGATAAAATAAAGACACCAGACAGTTTACAATTAAAGCATAACTGATCAAAACCTCCATTTTTAACACATGGCACAGCCACCTTGCAGATGACAAGACAAGGGGAAATGGTTTTGAACTGGAAGAGGGCAAATTTAGAGTATGAAAGAAATTCTTTACTGTGAGGGTGGTGAGACACTGGAACAGGTTGCCCAGAGAGGCTGTGGATGCTCCCTCCCTGGAAGCATTCAAGGCCAGGCTGGATGGAGCTTTGAGCAGCCTGGTATAGTGGAAGGTGTCCCTGCCTTTAGCAGGGGGCTGGAACTAGATGATCTTAAAGGTCCCTTCCAACCCAAACCATTCTGTGATTCTATGACACAATCTATCCACTGGGTTTCCTGAGAAGATCCTGCCTAAGTAAACTATGACTTTCTGTACGTTTATGGCTACATAAAAGATACAATTAAATCTTTCTTAACTAAGTAATGGTAGAACCAAATCTATTTGTCACATAAGCAAAAATATATATTTAAATCATTCACTTTAGCTCCAAATATGCAACTCTCTCTACTTCAGCCTTCATCTCTCCTCTTCAGCTTACCTCCTGTGCGCCACATTTCCCTAATCATTAGCAGCATCATTGGCATAGCATCTACTTTTTGCTTTCCTCAGTGCAGACAAGGAACACTAAAGAATTAAGTACCTCAAATTCTAAATAGCTTTTTTAAAGTATTTCTACCACAATCCACAGCAGTCGGTTCTACAGGAAGGAATATGCTCCTCTGTCAGAATTAATTCTTTTAACAAGCCAACAAGTACACAGCCCACTTCATCTTCATGACATTAATTTGCCTCAGTAACATACTGTCGGAGCACTACAGATGTTTCACAACATAAAATGCCCCACACCTCTGCAAGGAAGCCATCGCTCAGTCACACTCGAAGGCACTTAAATTAGTGCAGCTGTGAACAAAAGCGAGCCTTGTCTGTCCAATGCTCTGGGCCACTTCTTTTCACACCCCTTCTGGTACTGGAGGCAAACATTTCTGCAGCCATGTGGTAAACCAGACTAGGGACTCGAGATAAAAAGAGCTGTTTAGTTTTAACCTAGAGTAACCACTCCATTTATTTTATGGCGCAAATGCAGCAGTGCCTTCTCTGAGGTGTCCCTCAGGTGTCGGTTCTGGAACCAGTGCTCTTCAACATCTTCATCACTGACATAGATGATGACATCGAGTGCACCCTCAGCAAGTTTGCAGATGACACCAAGCTGAATGGTGCAGTTGATACACTGGAAGGAAGGGAAGCCATCCACAGGGACTTGCACAGGCTGGAGAAGTGGGCCCATGAAAACCTAATGAGATTCAATAAGGCCAAATGCAAGGTGCTGCACTTGGGTTGGAGTAATCCCAGTTATTTATACAAACTGGGGGAAGATTTCCTTGAGAGCCCTGTGGAGAAGGATTTGGAGATTCTGGTGGACGAGAAGCTGGACATAAGCCAGCAGTGTACACTTTGCAGCCTGAAGGCCAACTGTGTTCTGGGCTGCAACAAAAAAGGGGGGGGGCAGCAGGGCGAGGGAGGTGATTG